TTCCCCAAAAAGGGATATGTCGTTGCGTCGACTTCTCAAAAAGGGTCATTCTCTGCAGATGGGAACTTGGGCTGAAGGGCTGAGCAATGCGCGACGTTCTCAATAATAGAACTACTACTGGACAGGACTTGGCGTTACAAGACTTAAACCATCTTGTCGCGGCAACTCCCGGTTTTGAGTTGGACGTTTCCTCAGATCATGCCACGACGACGACTTGTCACATGTCAGGATCCATTCGATCACGGGACATTGTGGACGCGTCGCGGTGACACTTCCAAGTGTCACGGCGAGTCGCGCCCATACTCAAACACACTAAAATCGATACGGCTAGATCCGTGAACCGAGCCATGCGGGAGACGATTGGCGTGCCTAGAGCCATACGGCTTCTTGGGGCGCCCACGTTGGTCTCACATGCCAAGACATACCCGTTGGCCAATCCAGCACGTCGTATTCCAAAAGTATGACGCGGTGAGTTGGCCCACATCAAAAGTATCATATGGACAATGGGGCGGGGTCCTGATCACTCAGGACCTGTCCGATCGTTCAACTTTCAATTACCCTAAAAGGCAACCGATCTTAGATAGCGTAGCTACTATACAGTTGTACAGGACTTTACTAAGCAGCGTCGTAGACAGTATAAGTAGCACGTCGTCTCTTTGTATTAGAGAGCTTTTCCCCGGACTGTGAATCACTCTCATTTCAGATTGTTTTGTACAATTTGCGTGCCGCGTGATTCCACCCTAAGAAGTTCTGCTACCCCTGCCCGGTCGCGACGAGTTGCTCCCTGAGCACTTGTAGCTACTGTGATTTGAGTTTTGAGTTTTGAGATATCAGAAAGTCGGATTCGCCGCATCTGGTATTGTCGCGGCATTTAGTGTCATCGCCTTAGGGCTTTGTTGAGATCGTTCCACACCTCTAGCTTGGCAGTGCGTCGACTAGTTGTGCTCGGGTTGTTTTGGTCAGTTGGCAGTGCGTCGACTTGAGAACTTTGGTTCCACACTTCTTGCTTGGCAGTGCGTCGACAAGTTGTGCTTGGGTTTTGGACATTGGATATTGGCTGTTAGTTGGCAGTGCGTCGACGCGGCATTTTGGTTTACTAGTTGGCAGTGCGTCGACTCAGTACTTTTGGTTGTGTCAGTTGGCAGCGCGTCGACTCGACATTTTGGTTTACTAGTTGGCAGTGCGTCGACTCAGTATATTGGTTGTATCGGTTGGCAGTGCGTCGACTTGATATTTGGGCTTTGCGTCACCATCTGGACGCTGTCGCTACAAGGGATCTTAATACTTCGTATTAAGCTCTGACTTGTTATATTGTTGGTTGTGGATTGGATTAGTGTTGGTTGTGTTCGTATAGGAGATATTGGTTGAGATACCATTGTTTGCTATATATAAATTCTTGTCGTCGACTTCGTCTCCGCGACTATTGGATCTGCGTCTATTGAGAGTTGTGATACTGGTGCTCTGTCCACCCCGAAGCCCTCGCATCTTTCACACACTGAGAAGCTGATTACGAGGAGTGTGAACGTGTTTATATTTGGGTTTACTTTCATAGTAGATTCACTTGTGAGCACGCCCTCAGCATTTCACCGTTATGACGCGTCCAAGGACCTTGAGCTCAGGCTTCAAGAATTGCAACTTGTTCTCCCCGAGGTACAGTTTTTCTCTCCTCAGTACGTCAATAACCGATTTCACATGTTTTTTATGTTCGGCCAGCGTGCTGGAATATATAATTATGTCGTCAAGATATACATCCATGAAGCGTCCAATGAAATCTGAGAACAAGTGGTTCATTAGCGACTGATAGGTCGCCGGCGCGTTACAATCCCCCTGCTGGAGCACAAGGCTAACCATATTCCCATCAGGTGTTGTCATGGTCGTTCGGTCAACGTGCTCGGGAACAACGCGGATTTGCTCATATGCATCCTGGCCATCAATCAAAGATCGATACTTGCATTTGGCGACTCGCCGGAGGATTCCGTCCATATCTGGCAGAGGAGACGCCATTTTGTGGGTGTTAGCATTTCGCTCCCGGAGGTCCACCACCACGCGCAGCTTGGGCGGGTTCGACTTAGCTTTGGGAATCATCAACATGGGTACGGTGTTTGTCGCGCTTGTGACCCGCCATCTTCCACTTCTAAGGTACGCCCGACGCTTCTCATCCCAAAGTGGTCGCAGGGGCTCGGGGCACCTCGAGGGCCTCCACTTTATGATTTTGCTGGGATCGATGAGCGGGATGGTATGGTTTATGGCCCTAAGCGGCGGCAGTTCTGTTTCTGACGCAACCTTGCAGACGTCCCTTGCATAATCTCGCAACTCCTGGCGCGTCTGTCCAAGCTCATTGTCCTCAACTTCCATCGCGTTTGTATGAATCCGCGCCGTAGCCACGCCTTCCAGTGGGAGCGGTCTAGCGCTGCCAATGCACACGCGCGATGGATTGAGTCCAATAGTCACTTGGTGCTGAAAGAGCCAAGCAGTGCCCAAAATCATATTGTACCCGCTAATGTTGGCCACAAAGAAGGTGCGAGAACAGCCGATGTCCTGATACGAGAACTTAACAGTTGAAGCGTGGTTGATTTTTGACCTAGAACCCTGCACCGCCAGCTGTAAGGTCAACGGCTGTGGCAGGGGTTTTAGCGGAAGACCCAGCTGGTCTGCAACCGTGGTCGATATCAAATCACCAAGGGATCCTGAGTCGATGAGTGCTCGCATCGGTTGACCATTCACATTCACGACAACTACCAGTGGCTTGGCGACTATAGCCTCCTTTGCCTTCGGAGAGGAGGCGGACCTAGACAGGCTTGCCAACTTGTCAGCCGGCACCTGCATCCCATGGCATGCCAAGTCGACGTAATTCCACGAGGATCCATCCGAACGTTGGTATGTCATCCACCATTCGTCCTGAGGAATTTCTGTTATGGCTGATCTCAACTCAGCTTTGATTCGCTCTTTCTCTCGCGTACGAATGAGCAAGTTGAGCAGATCCAATTTCTGGTTTTTCAGCTGCCCGACCGATACCATAACACGCGCGCTTTCCAACTGCTCGCTGTCGGCCCATCCGAACGAATATCCGCTAGGACGGGGGTTGGCATCTTCCCCGAAGCACGGCCTTATGCTCATGAAGTCCCTCGCCTCAGGAAAATTTCTAGCAAGATTACTTATGTACAATTCCAGGCCGGTAGCCAGCGAATCCTGTTCAGCAATCTGGTGGCACAGCGCTGAATTTTTGCTCGGGACACCAAGGCGCTCCGCTAGTTGGCTTGCGTACCAGGAACCCAGCTCGAAGAGTGGGTTCAGCATCTGTCCTCCAGGTATCAGCGTTGATACCCCGTGGAGCGCGTCTCTGACCATATAGTCCTCTTCGCTCCATGCGGTTTCCACCAAAAAACGTTCCCTTCCCCATAAGGGTGATTCCGGGCCATGCGCTGCGTCTCCAGGATATGGCTGACAGAGTTCCAGGATGTGTTTCGCCCCATTGGCAATGATATCACCGACCTTCCGGTTTCCACTCCGTGGCCACGGGGCCCGCTTGTTTTCGGGTAACGTTGTCCAGGCTGTCTCCAAATTGAATCCGGCCTCGGCGACCGCAGCGTTCCAGACTGAGTGGCACTCACTATTCTCATCGTCTTGGTCTGATTCATCATCGCTGTTTGGTTCAGACTCAAGGCCGGGTAGGTCGTCGTTCAAGCCGTCCCACTCGTCGGAGGATGGATTGTCACCACATCCGCTTGCACTCATTGCAGATATCCCCTCGGGGCAATATCTAGCTTCTATTTCATCCGGTGACGGTGTGTTCCGCTTGCACAGGGCCGGTCCCGACGGGTTTATGGAGTCCTCGCAGTACCAGAAGTGTCGGTTATACCATTCCCAAATGTCCAGGTCTGGGTTCAAGAGAGTAGACTCGTTGACAATGATACGACGAGGGCTGTGATTCCGCCCAAATGAGTACATCTTTCCTGGCAGTGATTCCCCCACGAATCGCTCTTCTCCGCCTTTGATGCCCAGCTGTTCCGTTTCGATCTTATGCAGCATAATGAGCATCATTGCCAGTAGCGCGTCTCCCAGCTTGCGAAGCTGGGACTCCGTATAATCGATGTGGACAGCGTCCGGATGAACTCCCTGGGCTAGCCAGCACTTCTGAGCCCACCAGTAACCGAGCTCAAAGTCAGGATCATCCAGGTGAGAGTAATGAATAATCTCATCGCCTTCAAGAATATTCAGAGGCGTGCCGCTGTCCAAGATGCAATAGTATTCCGAATTCTGGATTCTGTACACTAGGAATCGCTCTTCGTTCGGCTCGGATCCGTCATCTCCTGGGAACGGCGCGCATTCCTGAAGTACTATACTCGCAAACCGTGCTCGAAGATCACCAATTCTCATTGGTCGTGGATTCGAGACCTCCCTCTCACCCATCAGATCCTCAACCGCACTCTCGATTATGCCTAGTTGGGGCCGGACTTTCGGTCCCGTGGATTGTATGGACAGACGGCTGAAGTCATTGATAAGGCTAGTATCGTCCAGCTCTGAGTCACATTGAGGGTCTACCGTTGAGTAATTCGTGCTATCCGCGTCTGAATCCGAACTAAAATCATTCAGGGTGTCCCTGCCCTCCCGGACTTCAGAAAAAGATAGACTAGATACACCTATCGATTCTAGAACTTCCGTCGTCTCCCCAAGGGAGGCTAGGCGGACGCTGACACCGTGCGCTCCAAACTCTGGGGGCTTTCCCTTTATTTTAGACTTCATCGTTGTGAGTTTGGGGCAGCTCCGCGCTATGTGGCCCGCCTCCTCGCAGTTCAGACAGAGTCCTTTAGCCATTAAATCGGCGCGCTTCTGGGGCGATAAGCGGCGCTCCCATGGTCGTTCGGGGCCCGCAGGGCGCTGGTGGTACGAGGAGGCTCCCGCCGAGTTACCAGTCGTTGAGGCATGCCGCTGCGGTTTAGCGGCCCGTGATCCGTTCTCACGTTGCGGGGATTCGACGGTGGCCGCCGCTGTCTTGATGACTCCGCTCCGCCTTCGTGGGATAAACCTCTTCCTCTTGTCCTTCTGCGATAGGCCATGGAGGTTCTGGTTAGAGCCGGAGGCGCTGTTATTGAAGGGATTGGTGCGTCCCTTTCTTTTCTTTTCTAAGTTCAGGAAGCGCTCAGATTTTAGTGCTTTTTTCACTACATCCTTCCAGCTTGATTTCTCAGGATCAAGGCGAAACCTGAACAACTCCTCTTGGATATCCTCGTCGAAACTGTCCCACAGCAGGGCAACGCGCTCCCGGTCTTTTTTCAGCCCAATCTGAAGTAAAATCGACTCCAGCTCCAGGACATGTTTCGTGACCGATCTGCCATTCTGGCGGCAACGAGTCAGTCGCTTCCTCTGCTTCTGAAGATAGTCTAACGAGAAGCAATGTTTCAACAGCCGTCGGAAGAACTTCCTTAGCGCCCACTTGTGCTCCTGTCCGCGGACACGCCGGTTGTAGAAGTCTTTTGCGTCGCCATCGAGATATCCGCCGACCATAGCAACTCGATGCTCCCTGGGCACGTTCCCGAGCTTACACCAACGGCTCGCTTCATCTACGAACTGAGTGAATCGGTCGGAGTCCTCCGCGCCATCATAACGCGCCGGTGGGTTTGGTTTCACAATCATTTTACCCTTCACCGGCTTGCGCGCTGAATCGCCCTTTTTCTTCTTAGATTTTTTCCTTTTCTCCTTCTCCGACCGGTAGCCAGACGAATCGGATTCGCCGCTCGAGCCAGAGTTGTCTGAGTCAGAGTCGGAGCTAGAGCCATCTCCGGGAGAGTCGCTGTTGTCACGGGAGGACGTTGAGGACGAGGAGTCGGAAGATGAGCTGTTCGAACTGTCGTCCGACGGTTGGTGACTGACGCCTCGTAGTACACTGTTCACGAATCCCCCAGCACTAGTTCTTCCCTTCGCATGGATCCGGGGCTTGCGCGAGGCAGAGCTCACCTGTTCCTGCTTTGGGATCTTAAGGGCATCGGAGGGCAAGCCAGTGTGTGGCCCTTTGCCATTTTCACTGATCCTCTCGCTCTTAGGCTGTTTGCCCACGCCCACGCGGTCGATCTCCTGGCGCAATTCTTCCTGCCTCTCAAACTCAGCCAGGCGATCACGCATGCGCAAGAACTCGCGGACGAATCCCCTTTCAAGGATATCATTCGCCTGACCAGTGACGAGCCCAGCCCCGGCTCCATCCTCTTTCTTGGGGGTCGGCCCACTGATTGGGGGACCTTCGAGGGATGTCCTGGCCGGCTCGACGTGGGTTCGGTCCCATTTCTGCTGCTCTCGCTTTCGTAGCTCAAAGAACTTCAGTGCGCTCTTTTGATGATCGATCTCCCCTTCCTCCCATTCAATGTCTCCCCAGTTCCGGGGATCAACTCCCTTGCCTTTGTCCCTCGAGGAGCCCGCGGCGGTGTGGAGGTAGGAGTCAGTGTCATCACCATTCGAGCTCGACTCTTCGTCGGAATCGTGCCCCGCGATGACCGAACCCGCGTCGCTCAAAGCCTGATCAGCGTTTGACTCGACATCGGTAACGCTAGCCGATTCTGCGATCTCGTCGGCGTCATCCAGGATAGTTACCTCCTCGTCAGGAGATACTTGAGGCTCGTAGGCCTGCCTGGCTTCCGAGCCCGTAAGGGCCTCGGAGATGGGCTCCGCTTTGGTCTTTTTACCTGCGTGAGCATTCGCTCCAGCCGCCTCCGCCATCTTGGCGTAGCGTTGGGCGATCAGCCGCAGCATCTCCGGAGACATGCTCTGAGCGGCTTCATCGATGATGGAAGTAACGTTACTGTCATTTCGTAACACTTCTACATTGCTGATACGACTAACAGGGCGGCTGGCACTTTCGCCAGGCTCCTCTCTGTGGGTCCGGGTACGGCGGCCAGATGCCACCGTCCAGCGACCATCGCCATCGCTAACGGTGCCCGTCTCCGCCTCCGCGGATCGGTGACCGATACTCTTGTTCGGGGATAGCGTATCCGTGCTCGCACGGGCTGGCCTTTCGGCGTTGTCTCCGCCAACGGTCATGGACGCGTTGACGGGCTGGGGGGAAGTAACGGCCAAGGCCGGGGAGACGACTCGAGCATAGGTGAGCTCAGGCGTCACTGCGCGAGCCTCAGGGGTAGTCGGCTGAGCGGTTTTCGGGTCCATGACCTTGCCGTCGGGGCCGCGGGGCCGCAGTTTCGAACGGCTGGCAGATACTGGGATCCGAGATACGTGGGAGTCGGGGTTGTGGGTCTGCATGGTAGCAGGGAGTAGAAGATTGGGTAGGGTGAAAATTTATAGGGGTTGTCTGTCTTCGTCGAAGTCGGCAGCGGCGGTTGATCAGACCGCAGGGAACCAGGGCAGGGCGAAGACGAGTGCTTTACTGTCAAAAATATGTATGTGACGGAAGCGAGTGATTCGAGTTCCGGCACAAGAGAAGTTGAGGCAACCAAACGGCAATGACAGGGATAAGCTGTAAGATTGACTGACTCTACCGTAAATAGACCCTAAACTACTTATACCGATCGGCTATACAAACAGTGGTAATTAAAAGAGATTGTGGGAAAGGAGCGATAAGATAAGCTGTTCCCGAAGTGGAGCGTTATGATGGCGCGGAGGACTCCGACCAATTCACTCAGTTCGTAGATGAAGCGAGCCGTTGGTGTAAGCTCGGGAACGTGCCCAGGGAGCATCGAGTTGCTATGGTCGGCGGATATCTCGATGGCGACGCAAAAGACTTCTACAACCGGCGTGTCCGCGGACAGGAGCACAAGTGGGCGCTAAGGAAGTTCTTCCGACGGCTGTTGAAACATTGCTTCTCGTTAGACTATCTTCAGAAGCAGAGGAAGCGACTGACTCGTTGCCGCCAGAATGGCAGATCGGTCACGAAACATGTCCTGGAGCTGGAGTCGATTTTACTTCAGATTGGGCTGAAAAAAGACCGGGAGCGCGTTGCCCTGCTGTGGGACAGTTTCGACGAGGATATCCAAGAGGAGTTGTTCAGGTTTCGCCTTGATCCTGAGAAATCAAGCTGGAAGGATGTAGTGAAAAAAGCACTAAAATCTGAGCGCTTCCTGAACTTAGAAAAGAAAAGAAAGGGACGCACCAATCCCTTCAATAACAGCGCCTCCGGCTCTAACCAGAACCTCCATGGCCTATCGCAGAAGGACAAGAGGAAGAGGTTTATCCCACGAAGGCGGAGCGGAGTCATCAAGACAGCGGCGGCCACCGTCGAATCCCCGCAACGTGAGAACGGATCACGGGCCGCTAAACCGCAGCGGCATGCCTCAACGACTGGTAACTCGGCGGGAGCCTCCTCGTACCACCAGCGCCCTGCGGGCCCCGAACGACCATGGGAGCGCCGCTTATCGCCCCAGAAGCGCGCCGATTTAATGGCTAAAGGACTCTGTCTGAACTGCGAGGAGGCGGGCCACATAGCGCGGAGCTGCCCCAAACTCACAACGATGAAGTCTAAAATAAAGGGAAAGCCCCCAGAGTTTGGAGCGCACGGTGTCAGCGTCCGCCTAGCCTCCCTTGGGGAGACGACGGAAGTTCTAGAATCGATAGGTGTATCTAGTCTATCTTTTTCTGAAGTCCGGGAGGGCAGGGACACCCTGAATGATTTTAGTTCGGATTCAGACGCGGATAGCACGAATTACTCAACGGTAGACCCTCAATGTGACTCAGAGCTGGACGATACTAGCCTTATCAATGACTTCAGCCGTCTGTCCATACAATCCACGGGACCGAAAGTCCGGCCCCAACTAGGCATAATCGAGAGTGCGGTTGAGGATCTGATGGGTGAGAGGGAGGTCTCGAATCCACGACCAATGAGAATTGGTGATCTTCGAGCACGGTTTGCGAGTATAGTACTTCAGGAATGCGCGCCGTTCCCAGGAGATGACGGATCCGAGCCGAACGAAGAGCGATTCCTAGTGTACAGAATCCAGAATTCGGAATACTATTGCATCTTGGACAGCGGCACGCCTCTGAATATTCTTGAAGGCGATGAGATTATTCATTACTCTCACCTGGATGATCCTGACTTTGAGCTCGGTTACTGGTGGGCTCAGAAGTGCTGGCTAGCCCAGGGAGTTCATCCGGACGCTGTCCACATCGATTATACGGAGTCCCAGCTTCGCAAGCTGGGAGACGCGCTACTGGCAATGATGCTCATTATGCTGCATAAGATCGAAACGGAACAGCTGGGCATCAAAGGCGGAGAAGAGCGATTCGTGGGGGAATCACTGCCAGGAAAGATGTACTCATTTGGGCGGAATCACAGCCCTCGTCGTATCATTGTCAACGAGTCTACTCTCTTGAACCCAGACCTGGACATTTGGGAATGGTATAACCGACACTTCTGGTACTGCGAGGACTCCATAAACCCGTCGGGACCGGCCCTGTGCAAGCGGAACACACCGTCACCGGATGAAATAGAAGCTAGATATTGCCCCGAGGGGATATCTGCAATGAGTGCAAGCGGATGTGGTGACAATCCATCCTCCGACGAGTGGGACGGCTTGAACGACGACCTACCCGGCCTTGAGTCTGAACCAAACAGCGATGATGAATCAGACCAAGACGATGAGAATAGTGAGTGCCACTCAGTCTGGAACGCTGCGGTCGCCGAGGCCGGATTCAATTTGGAGACAGCCTGGACAACGTTACCCGAAAACAAGCGGGCCCCGTGGCCACGGAGTGGAAACCGGAAGGTCGGTGATATCATTGCCAATGGGGCGAAACACATCCTGGAACTCTGTCAGCCATATCCTGGAGACGCAGCGCATGGCCCGGAATCACCCTTATGGGGAAGGGAACGTTTTTTGGTGGAAACCGCATGGAGCGAAGAGGACTATATGGTCAGAGACGCGCTCCACGGGGTATCAACGCTGATACCTGGAGGACAGATGCTGAACCCACTCTTCGAGCTGGGTTCCTGGTACGCAAGCCAACTAGCGGAGCGCCTTGGTGTCCCGAGCAAAAATTCAGCGCTGTGCCACCAGATTGCTGAACAGGATTCGCTGGCTACCGGCCTGGAATTGTACATAAGTAATCTTGCTAGAAATTTTCCTGAGGCGAGGGACTTCATGAGCATAAGGCCGTGCTTCGGGGAAGATGCCAACCCCCGTCCTAGCGGATATTCGTTCGGATGGGCCGACAGCGAGCAGTTGGAAAGCGCGCGTGTTATGGTATCGGTCGGGCAGCTGAAAAACCAGAAATTGGATCTGCTCAACTTGCTCATTCGTACGCGAGAGAAAGAGCGAATCAAAGCTGAGTTGAGATCAGCCATAACAGAAATTCCTCAGGACGAATGGTGGATGACATACCAACGTTCGGATGGATCCTCGTGGAATTACGTCGACTTGGCATGCCATGGGATGCAGGTGCCGGCTGACAAGTTGGCAAGCCTGTCTAGGTCCGCCTCCTCTCCGAAGGCAAAGGAGGCTATAGTCGCCAAGCCACTGGTAGTTGTCGTGAATGTGAATGGTCAACCGATGCGAGCACTCATCGACTCAGGATCCCTTGGTGATTTGATATCGACCACGGTTGCAGACCAGCTGGGTCTTCCGCTAAAACCCCTGCCACAGCCGTTGACCTTACAGCTGGCGGTGCAGGGTTCTAGGTCAAAAATCAACCACGCTTCAACTGTTAAGTTCTCGTATCAGGACATCGGCTGTTCTCGCACCTTCTTTGTGGCCAACATTAGCGGGTACAATATGATTTTGGGCACTGCTTGGCTCTTTCAGCACCAAGTGACTATTGGACTCAATCCATCGCGCGTGTGCATTGGCAGCGCTAGACCGCTCCCACTGGAAGGCGTGGCTACGGCGCGGATTCATACAAACGCGATGGAAGTTGAGGACAATGAGCTTGGACAGACGCGCCAGGAGTTGCGAGATTATGCAAGGGACGTCTGCAAGGTTGCGTCAGAAACAGAACTGCCGCCGCTTAGGGCCATAAACCATACCATCCCGCTCATCGATCCCAGCAAAATCATAAAGTGGAGGCCCTCGAGGTGCCCCGAGCCCCTGCGACCACTTTGGGATGAGAAGCGTCGGGCGTACCTTAGAAGTGGAAGATGGCGGGTCACAAGCGCGACAAACACCGTACCCATGTTGATGATTCCCAAAGCTAAGTCGAACCCGCCCAAGCTGCGCGTGGTGGTGGACCTCCGGGAGCGAAATGCTAACACCCACAAAATGGCGTCTCCTCTGCCAGATATGGACGGAATCCTCCGGCGAGTCGCCAAATGCAAGTATCGATCTTTGATTGATGGCCAGGATGCATATGAGCAAATCCGCGTTTTTCCCGAGCACGTTGACCGAACGACCATGACAACACCTGATGGGAATATGGTTAGCCTTGTGCTCCAGCAGGGGGATTGTAACGCGCCGGCGACCTATCAGTCGCTAATGAACCACTTGTTCTCAGATTTCATTGGACGCTTCATGGATGTATATCTTGACGACATAATTATATATTCCAGCACGCTGGCCGAACATAAAAAACATGTGAAATCGGTTATTGACGTACTGAGGAGAGAAAAACTGTACCTCGGGGAGAACAAGTTGCAATTCTTGAAGCCTGAGCTCAAGGTCCTTGGACGCGTCATAACGGACAAAGGAATTCGCATGGATTCGGACAAAGTTGACTCGGTCCTGAATTGGAAAACCCCAACGAACCGCGACCTGTTGAGAGGGTTCTTGGGTTCGGTCGGGTATTTGGCAGACGACCTGGCCCATGTGCGCGTTCCTATGGCTGTCCTACACGGGCTCACCGGAGATACGGTACCATTTCGCTGGGGCTACACGCATCAGCGCGCATTCGAAGACATCAAAAGGATAGTTTCTGACCTCCGGAACCACCACCGAACGCCGCTTGACTATGGCCCCGAAGCGGAACCTATCTTCCTAGTCACGGACGGGAGTGCCACGGGCGTGGCTGGAGTGGTCTGCCAGGGCCCCGATTGGAGGAACGCGAGAGTGGCGGCGTTCTTCTCTGCTAAGCTCAATTCAGCCCAGCAGAACTATGCTGTTCACGAGATTGAGATGATGGCCGGAGTAGAGGCTATGCTGCGCCATCGAGACATCCTTCAAGGATGTAAGTTTCAATGGATCACGGATCACAAAGGCCTGACTCACCTGATGAACCAACGCGAATTGTCCGGTCGTCAGGCAAGATGGATCGAGAAGATATCAAGCTTCGACTTCGACGTGGTGTACGTGCCAGGGACAGAAAATGTGTTGGCCGACGCGTTGTCACGGATCTACTCAAACGAATCACCTGGCACGGTACGGGCTAGAAGCGAATATACTTACCATGACGTGATAAATAATGACGTCCTGAGCGCTCACTCCATCACCATGCCGGTGCTGTCTGGAATTGAGGCCATGGCAATGTCATCTGACCGCGTCCTTAGGTCAAAGACGCGAGCAGATGCATCTGCAAAGCAGGCGGTGTTGAATTCCATGAAGGGACCCACGACGGGGGTCACAAAAGCGCACAGAGTGAAACGTCCAAACAAACTTCCCTCCCTAACGGAAGGGAAGGAGGGCGGGAGTACAGAACGTACGGAACAAAATCATTCAACAGTCAAAGGACAGGAGGGCGGGTCGCCGCCGCACGTCAATCAGTCAGACTATTCTGGTACCTACCCCGCAATTGACTCCACGGTCGCAGAAGCGGATCCATCATTAATTTCAGTGGTCAATCAAGGACATGACAAGCTGGATATATTAGGATTCATCCGTCATCGATATTCCGAGGATAACTTCTTTAAGGGTATCCTGGCTAATCCAAAAGAGTACAAAAACTTTGAAGTGAGAGAAGGACTTGTATTTTTAAAAGACAAGGACCACCAGGTCCTGTGCGTGCCGAAGCTCGAATACAACGGCAGATCCATCCGGGAAATAGTTATATCTGAAGGGCATTCAGTTCTCGCGCATCTCGGAGCACGAAAGACAATTGACTACCTACGTGACAATGTGTGGTGGAAGACTTTGGTGGAAGACGTAAAATCCTTCTGCAGCTCTTGCACAACCTGCAAGCAGAGTAAGCCAAATAATCACGCACCATACGGGCTGCTGAACCCTCTATCTACTCCGCAGCGACCTTGGGAAGCCATAGGCGTCGACTTCGTCGGACCGCTGCCGGAGTCAAAAAACCGAGATAGCGTGTTCAATTCCATCACCGTGGTCATATGCCTACTCACGGGGATGGTTCACCTGATCCCAAGTCGAACCAACTACACTGCTCGTCAGTTCGCAGAACTCATGTTTGAAAGCGTATACAAACTTCATGGCCTGCCAAACGCGATCGTTAGCGATCAAGACGTCCTGTTCACGAGTATATTCTGGACGCGGCTGAATGAGCTCGTTGGGACTGAACTGAAAATGTCCAGCGCCTACCACCCTGAAACGGATGGGGCTACCGAACGCGCTAACCGGACGGTCACTCAACTGCTAAGACAATGCGTGAGCGACAAGCAGAGAGACTGGGTTTCCCGCTTACCGGCGGTCGAATTCGCGATGAATATGGCCCGGTCCGAGACAACCGGCTACTCTCCATTCTTCCTGAACACTGGAATGATGCCCAGGGCAATGGTCTGGGACTCCGACCGGTCAAAAGATTACCCAGGTGTGGCAGCGTTTGTGCTCCAGAGGCGCCTTGCCGTGATGGCGGCGCACGACGCCATTCTTGCATCCCGGGTCAAGCACATCCGAGACGCCAACCGTAAGCGGCTGCCCGCCCCGTTCGTTACGGGAGACCAAGTTTACCTCAGCACGAAGAACATTAACTTCGAGAAAGGACTTGCTAAGAAACTCTTACCTAAGTTCATTGGCCCGTACCTGATCCTGCGGGACTTCGGAAATTCTTCGTTTCAGGTCGACCTGCCGGCTAATCTCAAGCAGCGAGGGGTCCATGACGTCTTTCATGCCTCCTTGCTTCGAGTTCATGTGCCCAACGACGATCGACGTTTTCCGGGCAGACTGGAGAGTCAATTGAATGTCGCGGATGCGGCAAGCGACTCAGAATGGACTGTTGATCGTATCCTGGGACACTCGGGAAGCCGCCGCAGAGCCCTTTTCGAGGTGAGATGGAGATCCGGGGACTTGACTTGGATGCCTTATCAGCAAGTGAGCAAGCTGAACGTCCTTCAAGACTACTTCGAGAGTCTCGGGATACAGGACATCACTCAACTAGTGAAAGGGGCAAAAGTAGCGCCCCCTCTTGAGTTCCAAGTCGGATGTGCGGATATCGAAGAACAGAGGGCGGAAGGATCAGCCCCGGGGACCCAGGAAATAAAAGGGCCAGAATGGTCCCCTCCGACTGACTGGATTTATCCATCTGCATCTTCTGAGCGTCAACATTCCTCTATCACCATCGAAATGTCGTCCACCGCTCACCTTCTCACCTATCACGGAGACGTCGTTGACGGATCGACCCCCCTGGGCCACGAGCTTCCAGACGAGCACTTGGCGTTCAATCACCAGCACCTGGGGACCCTCAAGTTCATCACGGTCCGCCTGATCGTTGCTCAACTCAACGGAGTCGACATCATGTTCGACTTGCGTCAAATGCTGCAGATCGTGATGTGGAATATGCGTGTCAACGACCTCGACCGGAACATGACGGCGGCCGACCCTGCTCCCGCGGGAGCCGCTGAGCTCGCCGACGCTCTCAACGGGATCGACAACCGGCTGTGGTCGATCGCCAAGGTGGCGTATGACGGGACCATCGAGTACGCCGAGCACTACATCCCCACCCCGCAGGATTTTCTCTGCCTTGACAAGTACCTGCACGACCCCACTCCCACCGGCATGATCCAGATCTCGATCGCCGAGTACGAGGAAGGCCGCGAAGCGATTGTCGGGCGCGACCGCGCCTTGCGCAAGGCCCGGGAGCGCCGCATCGCCGAACAGCAGCAGCGGGGTGCTGCCCCTGCGGAGTACGCAATTGGAGTCAACTCCGGTGAGATGGCCGCCCGGCGCCGCCTTCGCATTGAGGAAGCGAAGGCGAACCGGTTGGCGGCTGGGGCGGGGGCGGAGGGGGAGGGAGATGAGGGGGCGGGAGGAGATGCTTCCATGACTTAAGCTCGCGCCTAGAGCGGCGAGCTGGAGGGCGTATGTCGCGGATCGTTCCACTTCGGGAACGGCTTATCTTATCGCTCCTTTCCCACAATCTCTTTTAATTACCACTGTTTGTATAGCCGATCGGTATAAGTAGTTTAGGGTCTATTTACGGTAGAGTCAGTCAATCTTACAGCTTATCCCTGTCATTGCCGTTTGGTTGCCTCAACTTCTCTTGTGCCGGAACTCGAATCACTCGCTTCCGTCACACTGCCGCCACTGCTCAAGTGACCGATCCCGCCACCGCTCTGCTTAGCTTTTTCTCTGCCCCGTCCTTCCAAGCAATGATGGCAGGTGCTATTTGCAGCGCAGTCCAGGAGGAGCTCGCGAAAAAATGAAGGTGTTACGTTCAATTTTGCATGTCCTTTCTTGATCGTGGGGTTTATCTGCATACATTCATCCGTATATTAGTTTCGACATATTTTTTTACAACGTCCTGTTGTACATCTTTCATACACGACATCGATCTGCCCCCCCCTCTTCTGGCTATGGAATTTTAAGGGATGGATTTTCAGAAGCTGAGTTGCACCATTACATGGTCAGGTAATGAATGCCTGAATAGTAGTGCCTTCTGACCCCACCCAAAAAAATACTGTTCATGCTTCCACACCTCCCTCAACATTCATCGAACTTGAGGGGCCTTTAATTCTCTCAAATGTCAATCAGTAGTATTCAGTGCACGGAGTTCAATCATGCAAGCTTTCACTGACCCCTACCAGTCCCTGACAGTGAACAGTTTCATTGGGAGCTCTCATTCCAGACCGAAGTGGTGTAACGCTGTTTGTCAAAGAAAATTTCCATAACCGTCCTCTTCACGCTTCTAGAGCAAGCCAGGCCAGCAGATTACTAGGAGCAGCCCAGCGCTTACCCCCGCACGCACCCCCGCACGCACCCCCGCGTGCACCCCACAACAACAACAGATTGTGTACAACACCAAACTCATAGTCAAGGGCGATTTAGGACAAGTTGAATGGTCTAAAATTTTGGGATTCCATGATACAGAGCCCTGAATCATGTGGAAATACCACTAGGATTATTTTACCCTGGTTATTTGAATTTCTTTCTGTGATCAACATCATAATCCCCGGCGTGAGGCAGAGTTACACAGTGCAGAGCTTCTCAGGGAGCAGAGTAGTACACTCTGTAAAAGCTGTTGTTTTTCCTCAAAAAGGCGGCTACAATGCAACGAATACCACGAGTGGTTAAACATGGAACTGATCAACCGCACGGGTGACCCCGCAAAATGATGGGAACATTCCCATCATTACCGCAGTGCGGCGGGCATTTTGCGCTCAGCGCTTCACTTTCTTAATTATCGAAGCTAGACACAATTGGGATAGCATCGGAATTTTTTCCGGCAGCCATTTGGTTTTTTTTGCGCCCAGTCACGTGACCGTTTTGGCCGCCATCCGCTGCATTGTGCGCCATCGTGGAGAGCATGCAAAAACCCGACCAAATGGTGGCAAAATGGCCGGGATGAAGTCACGTGAATATGCGCCCACCACCCGCCGTGGCATGCGGGGGATCGGTAATGACCCCGCCCGCACCCCCGCCAGCCCCCGCCAGCGTTTTAAAATTTTTGGTTCCATCTGTCACGTGCTTTTTTCGCCCGCCATCCCGCCCGCTCGGTGCTTCCACGTGATTGATTTTTTTTTCCCGCCCAGCTACCCGCTCTTACAGATGTAGACAAGTCACATGTATATATTTTCGTTCACCCCCCCCCCTGCTGACCCCCGCATATGCCCCCGCCCCCAAATGGACCAAATCCCCCCCGCGGGCCCCGCAGGGGGTACCTGTCAGGTACCCTCAGAGCTACGTCTGAGGGTACCCAGTAGGACCCCCGCGGGGGTGCAACCGGGTGATGGCGGTGGTAACTGAGGTGGTTCAACAACGAACTCAAGGAGACCAAAGTCGTGTTGAAGATCAACAATCTAGTCCCGCGGCTTTGGGCGTTGCGTGAATGTGCCTTTGCTCACCTGACGCGGCCGGGTCATCATCGTTCAGACGTCGCTTAATGCATTGGTCTCCAACGGACGAGTGAGTATCAGTGACCGATGTCCAGACCCCTCCCGGCGTTCTACTGGCCGCTTCACCCCTTCTCATGTTGTGTGCATGTGCTTTGAATATCCTTCTGACGACCGTTTCCAGTTACATCTCTGTTACCGGAGACTGTTGTGCCTGATGGTGGATAGTGGGTGGCGAGCTGAAACGTATGTCGGTCAGTGCGCACCCGCTTACAGTTGGCGTTTTCCAGTTTCTGAGCGACGCAGATGCTGCGATCCAATCATACCTTTCACGTGGCGCGTTCTACCCAAACTCCACTTCCAACTCCCGGGTCTCGACAGTGTTTGGTCACGGCTGCATGTCGCCTGCGGATGTGGCGTGATGAAACTAGAATACAACGCTCGATCCAGCGATTGATATCGACACTCGGGGCAGGGGGCATTTATGCCGTAGAGTACTTGCCTATGAATCAGACGATCCCTGGAGAGCGACGCTTGGGAGTTTCTGGGGCTTTGATGTCGCACCGGCATTGGAATTCGCTGCAGAACGTCGCGCTCGGCATTCGTGAACGTCTCAGCTTCCTGGCTATTCTCACCCTTAATGAACTCACTGGCACTGATCTACCCATTCATCGCTTGAATGGCGGCCAGGAAATGATTGTGATTCGTGTAACTGACTGTGATTCATGTAACTCAATTCCGTAAGGCTGGGCCATCCCTAATCAGGTAGATATAGGCACCATAACATTCGAATTCAACGGTCCGCCCATTGCTACACCATGGCAATAGTCAAAACTTGGTGGTGATGGGTTGTGCGTATGCTAATGTGAGACGCACCGACTAAAACCGACAGACGTAATGCCCGCGAAGACGGAGAACCATGAAGATGCGTGAGCACCACGGATGATAGAAATCTGAGCGATAATCATAAGAATATGGGGCATCGATGTCTCCGGCGCCAATAAAATCGACACCTCATCTACTTGTCTCCACTTTTCCACCTTCCACCATGAGCCCAAAACATCATATCGTCGCCATAATCGCGCCCGCCTGGGGACACGCCGCGCCGTACACGTATCTCGCCGCACGCATGTTAGAGGCCGATCCAGACCTCGTCATCACCATCGTCCAGCACGAGCTCATCGGGGCGTCTTTCTCCACACCGCGAACTTCTCCCCCTAATCCCTGCCAGTGGCCAAGCTGGACGCGGAGATGTCGTCCTATTCGCACGATGCCGGTCGATTGCGCATCATGGGTGTCGGCGATAAAAGGTCTGTGGGCGTGCCGCCGATCCATCACCATCACCATCACCATCACATTCTTCGGGCGCTGCTAATTATGGGTGTGGTCTCTGCAGTTTGACGTTTTCACCCGCGACAGGCCACATTGCGCTCGAACACCTCTTGACCGGCTGGCTCGCTGTGCTGCCCTCGTTCGCACAGGGAAGCGACGACTGGCCCGTCCCGCACGCCGTCCACGTAGGTATCACCACCGATTTATATCCCCTGTGGTACTTCTACTATCATTCGTTTTGGCTCATCGTACGCTTCTTGTCCGCCCGCAGCTCGATTTCGCCTGTGGGGGTTTTGTGATCGAGCAAACGAAGCTCGCGATCCCTGGTATCAAATCGCTCGTCTGGTTCTGCACCGGGGTTACGTCCGCACTGTGCCATTTCACCGAGTACGATTTCGCGAAGATCGCCGACGACATCTTTGCGGACGAGGAGAAGAGGAAGGGGCGGAGCAGGGACGAGATCCTTCACGCGGTATGCGACTTTATTCGTCTATCTTACGGAAGTTGGGGCTGAGGGCTTTGATGATGATGACTAGGTAGCCTTTGCGTGGAACGGCTCAGACGCCCTGTCGAAGATGATCGTCCGGCATCCCGGTCTCGCGGATATGTACGATTACGAGCGCGTGGGGCACGCAGCGGGCGCGCCGCCGGTCCTCGGTGCAGTGCTCACGGGGGCACAAATGTTGGCGAAACACAGCGACGGATTCATCTGCGCCGCTACGAAGCACATCGAACCCGTCGGTGTGCCTTACGTGACGGAGTTCTACCGTATGCAGGGCAAGAAGTTGTTCTCAGTCGGGCTCTCGGTGCACGAGAAGTTTTGGGAGGAGGATGAGGAGGAGCGGCTGAAAGAAGGAGAGCTGAAGACTTTCATGGACAAGGCTTTGGCGGAGCATGGCGAGAAATCCGTGCTGTATATCTCCTTCGGGTGCGTGCCCCACTACACCACCCAAAATCACGGAACGCTCAGAGAGCAGACAGATCGATCTTCTTCCCGGTCGCGACCCCGCACCTCATCGAGACCCTCGTCGAGACTCTCCTTACCCTCGAGCAGCCGTTCCCCTTCGTGTTCGTTCTCGGCTCGCAGCTGGCCTCCCTACCAGCACCCCTGATCGAGCGCATCAACTCCAGCGGACGCGGGCTCGCATGCTCCTATTGGGTCGACCAGCGCGCGGTCTTGAAGCACAAGGCAACGGGGTGGTTCTTGACGCACGGCGGCTACAAGTAAGCAGCCTCAGTTTCGTTCGTGTCTCCGGGGACTTTCTTTTTTATTCATTGTTCATCTCAGTTCGATTGGCGAAGCGATCTCGCAAGCTGTGCCTCTGATAATGTGGCCCTGCGGTGCCGAGCAGCCCCTCAACGCGTCTCTGCTCTCCAGCGGTCCCGCCGCGATCACGTTCGAGTTGCTGCAGGTCCGTGGGGCCCTCCCGACCATTGCATTCCCCGTTCACAGAACAAACACAGGTCCGAGCTGGCCCGCAAATCGGCCCCTCGCTGCGGTTCCCGGGCGTGGAAATCACGGGGACGACTGAAGCGGCTGGTGCAGAGCTCGCCGGTGTCTTTGCCAAGGCCAGGGGCGAGGAGGGGAAGAGGCTCCGTGCGAACATCGAAGAACTCAGGGGCAAGATCCTGGCGGGCAGGACAGAGGAAGATCGAGAGCAAATCAAGGCTCTGGCGGCGTTCTGATGCTTTTAGATGCCCGAGGGAAACGCCGTATCTTATCTTATCAGCTAACTTCGAGAGATGATTTGTCACTCCCACGGTTGAGAATCTCGCATCGAGAATCGGCGGTGTGAAACGAGTCCTGGGGCGCAGCCGACATAGTTTTCTCGATGGTGAAATATATTTGTATTTTTGATGCGATGGTCTACGAGTCGTCCTGCGGATGAAACCGGAAAGATCCTGGATACTCCTGCGCACATTGAAGATTGCCGGCAATCGCTCTAATAAGTAGATGGATTGTTTCACATGCGCGATCATGTAATGACAAAGGCGAGTCAGTGTGCAGCCTATACTCGGACTGGCATGAATAAGCTCTGCCAGAGAGTGAGAGTTCCTTTGGACCTTGAAACTTCGTCTCTAACGGTGGTCAATACGTCAGCAACAATCTAGCACAATTGCCGGTTCACCTCCGAACTCATATTGCAAGATTCAAGAATAACAAGACTGAAGACCACACTGTGAGTTCACAGGGACAGCGGAGACCAAACTCTGGACTGGTCCTAGTGAGCCACACGCGAGGGATGGGGAAGAGTTGCTGACACCGTTGTGAATGTCATGAGTGGCCCGGTCTGCCGAGTGGGCTGGCCACGTGGAGGATGTCTTCAACTTCTCGGACTGTACACCGACCATACCTTGACAAATGTGTCTCATGCAGCGCAGAAGACTCGGGGGACCGGCACGACGTCCCGACACGGCACGCATCCGACACATGTTCTGGCCATTGAAGCTCATCCCATGCATCCACTCGAATTGGGAATCCAACACTCCAGTGGCTCGCCCGCCCGCTGACACACGCTGCAGACAGAAGAAGCCGAGTCATTCAAGACCACGATGGATTACAGGTGCAAGTATCTACGAGAACAAGTAACGACGAAGTATATGCTATATAGGTGGTGGTATACGTGCTGTATCAATAGGATCCGAGACATATGCGCGCGCGCGCAGTCCGCAGCCATCACGGCTTGGCCTGGTCGATTTTGTCGGACGCGTCACCTGCAGACTCCCTCTTCTTTTCTTCCTTCGCCGGCTCGCCAACTGGCAGCGGCTTCTCCTTCTGGATCTCCTGGCCCGGCGGCTTTTCGGAGTATCTCTCGGCGGGAATGAGGGGGATGGGGACGGTCGTCGTCGTTGCCATCGGCGGAGGGTAGGACGGATGCGGCATGGATGCCATTTGGGGCTGCGGGGGAGGCGGGGCGTAGGAAGTCGGGTAAGGTGCCTTCGCGCGCATGGACAAGTCAGATAAAGCACGCGGGCCGTATCAAAAGAGGGAAGGCACGCACAACAGAAGGGCTTCGGGAATTGAGATTAGATCCAAGCGGGCCACGCTTATGCGGAAACTGCTCCGGTCGAGGCCGCGAGTGCGTCCGCTCGAACAGACCGCACTTGTTGCACAGCTGGAAAAAGGAGGACAAAGCGATCGTCAGTGAGGACCCAGAGCCATCGTACAGCTCCACGCACCACTTTCCCTGGATTCAGATTACTCCTCCGCCACGTGCTGGTCTCCGTCGTGCAGCAGTTGAAACACCTCCTCCGCACGCGATCGCTCACTTTCTCCGTCGCATCGTCCGTGTGCACGACGTGGCCGGGGGAGGCACCATCCCCGGCGGCGGGCCCAAGTTGGGGCTCCCGTTCGCGCCCGGGTGTTGTTGCTGCGGCGGGGCGCCAGAGAGCAGTGGCCCCGGCGGGGGGTACGGCATATATCCAGCGTGGTGCAGCGGGAAGGGCGCGGGGTAGCCGTGGTGCTGCGCGTGCGCATCGTAGCGGTGGTCGGCGGGGTGGTGGTGGTACCCGCCTGGCGGCGGCGGCGGCGGGGCGCCGTACATGTACCCCGGGGGCGGGCCGTAGCCGCGGGGGAGCTCGTAGGCGGTGTAGTGGTGCGGTGGGGGAGGAGCGTGCTGGGGGCCTGCGCCGTTCGTAGCGGGGCTGGGCAAGCCGTTGGCACGGTCGGCGCCGTCAGGGTGAGGAGGGGGCGTGCCCGAAGCGCGACCAGGCACGGACGGCGGCCGATCGTAGGGCGAGCGGCGGTGGGACTCGGGTGGCGGCGCCGCCGATGGGTAGGGATACGGGCCTTGCGGTTGGACTGACATCTTGGTCGGCCGTTGAGACTCGCGGCGCGGTGAAAGCGAGGCCCTGCGCGATCAGAGGGAGTGGCTTTTAAGGAAGGACCTCCGCGACCTAGATTCTTACGCGAGGGAAGATCCCACACAAAAAAAATCCGGCCCGCCAAGCAGCCGGTCGGTCCCGTTGTTTCGGGTGCATCGTGATCCCCATCAGGCATCGAAAACAATACGGATCGCGCGGCCATCACCGAGGCCATCCGAGGGCAATGCATTTCTGCAGCCAATGAGGGGCGTTACCTTATCGGTTACCTACCCTTGGGGCCGCCAGGACACGTGTCCGCCCCACACCGATTTCATTTTGTCCGGCGCAGGGGCGGGATCGATTTTAAACGGAGCAGTCAAGGGAGCAGGAATGCTGATGATGAGTGCTGCCCATCATCTGATTTTCACGAGAGTGGAACTCAGGTCGCGACGTTGACGCGAACCGCCACGGCGTTGCTATCAGCGGTCAAATTTCATTTCCCGTTTGACAGGAGACATCAAGGAGACACGTTGCGGAGCTTTTACAACCGGTGTCGCATGGTTTCGCTCACGGAAATACACTTGAACCAAACCTCCTGGGAGCGGTCGCTGAGGCACGCCATTGTTTAATATTCCAGAATCGTCCGGGGACCCGTCCCGAGCGACAGCTTCCATTTGTAATGTTTTCCACACATCCCAGCTCGCTATTATGAATGACAGAGTATATAGACGCGCTCTAATTATCAGTTGCCCATCGTGGCTGACACATGACCGCGTCTGATGATTTGATTATCGATAACAAACGGCACCGCAAACTACACCGAAGCCAATAATCTAAAGGATGAGGGGCGTGCCTACAGCATTGTGTTCAGGCTGAACGAAAGACGCTATCCCAATGTCTAGAGTTCAGAAGCCTCCACGACCACGGGAATCACACCTAGTGTGGAAATCAAAGGATATCCCTGTAGCAGAGAAAGGGACTGAGATACCTCCGGTGGGAAGAGCGTAGCGCGGCCGACCGACAGCGCCGAGGAATGCGTTAATGATGCCGCTGTGCGCGGTAACTGAGACGACTGCAAGTTGTGAGCACCTTCCATAGGAGCCCTGGGCACCAGCAGTAGGCTTACACAGCGCTTCGTTGTCGACGGTGAACATCCTATCGAGCACAGCTTTGGCGCGCCCGACGGCGTGCTCGAATGTTTCGCGGGCGTCTTGTTGGTACAGCTCGTCTTCCTCCGTGAATCCGTCCTCGATGTCGAACTCGCGGAATTTGTCAGCGATGAAGGACCGGGGGTGCCGTTTGTCGCACGTATGTTCGCCGTATTCCTCACGGCAGTTCTGTGGAAGTCGAGCTTGTGAAAAATGGTGTGGTCTCGCAGACTGTACCTCGAGAATGAGCACACGTTTGGTGTCTATCCCTGAGAAGGTGATCTGGTTGGTGTGGATCGCACGGGTCATCGGACTGCTGTACAAGACACCCGGGAGTGTCATGCGTCCGTTTTCGAGCTCCTGTTTCCACACTTTGTTAGCTTCAACAGCCTGCTCTTCGCCCAGCGGAGTGAGATCGGGGTCAGCTGAAGGAGCATGAGATGGGGAGCCGAAGACATGAACCTTGGGAGACGCACGTCCCCAGGTCAGCTCGTCGTCTCCATTTTGCTTAGCCCAGTATCTTGAACGAAGCTAAGGTGTTTCACGATGATGAGATGGTTTGACCAACGCACTCGTCCCAAGCCACGGTGCCGTACTTTTCTTCCGCGACGTTATCTGTGCCCCAAATATATGATCTAGGGATGGGAGCTGAAGTGCAATCCAAGACTCACGCCAGCCTTGCCCGTGGCGTCCGAACAGCACAAGCTTATACATCTTGCCTGTGGACCTGCCCTCCTCGATGAGAGCGCCCAGTTTCACGTACAAATTATGCCAGCGGTCGGGGGATTCATCGATCAGTCCGAACCGGGGAGGCACCTTGGAAACTCTTCAGTATTCGAGTTTAGATGCAAGAATCTCTTTGCGCACCGCGCCGATGGCAACAGGATCAGCGTTCAAATCGTCTTGGAGAAAGAATCCGGGCACGGTCTGTGTGACAATTTATGATTGGTTTTTCAGGCACAGAACGGCCCAGAGCTTACTTTGTATGTCATAGATTTCATTGATGCTAGTTCTCAGGATGGCCGGTGGCGGTAGTAGTAGAGTGCTAGTATCTAGTGGAAGATTTGAGCGATCACCGTGATGCATCAGGCTGTCACAGCACGTAAAATGATCACTGATGATATCACAGATAGGCTCGCCCTTGTTTTCCCGCCATGATCTAAGTTGAGCTTTTTCCACTTGCTCGAGCTTGGAGGGTTGGCGGCAATCCCTACTCGAGATTTGAATCCGGGGATTCTGTCTAGAGAGGAGGAATGATCCTGGTAGTTGTTGGTGCACTGTGTCAGCCTAGGTCGTCCGACTACTGACTAAATATTCCGCAGGCTGCTCGATTGACAAACCGCTGGGGGTGGTATCGACGCACTGACGTCCCTGTATAGCCCCGAGCAGGCAGCCGGACTTGTCTTCTCTTCCCTTCTCAAGTCCCCGAGAGAAGCCGCACCAAGCTTCTCGATCGACGCACAAATTTGAATGCACAGGCCTGGACCCAATCATTCTTGCGGCCCTAAAGAATTCGGGTCTCCGGATCCAACAGCGCCATCCTTCGTTGCATCCACGGAGCGGCCAAGAGCTCGTTTGTGCACAATACAGTCCGGACCCGCAGGGCGCGATACACTTTCCGCCTAGCGCGAGTTTCTATAGCAGGCGATTCCGACACCCACTTCGCGGACGCTTAGTGCCATGCCAAGTGCGCCACCAAGCCAACGACGCGTCAACGTCGCCCAAGTTCGCCGTGACCGAACTTCAAGGTCCCACTCCAAACGCGTTTGCGCGCGTGCTTCTCGAGCGACGGATTGGCACCGGCTAGAGCGTGACGCCGACTGCCCACGCTCCACAGCCGTGCACGCGCGCGCCAGATGTGGAATCCGCCGTCGGTTGGCGATGTATTTCGGCTCGCGATGGTTCGTTTGATGGATTTCGAGTGCCCGGATTCTGACATCCCACCTCCGTCTTTGCGCTCTTCGTTTGCAGCTGCTTCTAGTCGCTCCGCTTTCGCGCGACGGAGAAGGAGACTGGGCGTGCTTCAACTGATCTCAACTAGAGCAATGACTCCTCGTACGACCAGGATCTGCTGTAATGCTGGTGGGATATAAAAGCGGCCACGATTCTTCGAAGAAACGTCAGTTCTCGAACTACAAGACCTACCTGTCCATTCTCTTCTTTGTTCGTTCTCACCATGCAATTCTTTGCTCTGCTTTCTGCCGTGCTCGTCTCCTCTGTCATGGCTTCGGTATGTTGCGGGAACCAATGTTGGCTTCGATGTTGACTTTATCTTTTCAGCCTCTGTTGGGACCTGTTCGTTGCATGCGTTACCTGTCGTTTGTGTTTCTGACTAACATTCCGGGAAGGTTCCCGACACTGCTCCGGTGGCTGCCGTGCTTGGCTCTGCCCTTGGCTCAGGTGCTGCCGGCTCTGTTGGCTCCAGCGCTGCCGGTTCTAGCCCTGTCGGCTCTGGTGCTGCTGGTGCTGGTGCTGTCGGCTCGGGCACCGCCAGTCCCAGTGTCGTCGATACTGCTGCTGGCGCTGTCGCTCCTGTCATCGGTGCTCTCGGCTCCAACGGAGGCGTTGTGCCTCCCGTTGTTCCTGCCACCGGTGCCGTCACTCCTGCCGTTGGTACTGTGGCTCCTGTCGTGGGTGCCGTCGCTCCTGTCGTCGGTACCGTCGCTCCTGTTGTGGGTGCCGTCGGTTCTGCTGCTAACACGCTGGGATCGGCCACCGGCGCTCTCGGTTCGGTAGTTGGTACTGTCGGCTCTGTGGCAAATACCGCCACTGGCGCTGCCGCAGGCCTGGTATGTTCCGTCTTATCATCCGCTGCTCTTTTGCAACTGATCGCTTCATAAAACCAGACCCCGCCGCAGGCCTCTGTGGTGAACTCGCTCGGTGGCGCCGTCACCTGTCTGAAAGGCATGCAGGACAAAGTCGGGCAAATCGTCGCCGCGGATCCGTCCAGCGCACTCGCTCAGCAGGCCATGACGCAGGTCGCGACGCTCACAAGCTGCATGCTCCCCCCGACCGGCACGCTTCCCGTCGGCGGGCTGCTCGGCGGACTGCTCGGTGGAAGTGGCGGCATCCTCGGTTCATGTCTGGCTGGCGACAGCGGCCCCCTCGGAGGCTTGCTCGGCGGTGGTGGCTTGCTGGGTGGGCTCCTCGGTGGCGGTAGCCCCGGCCTGGGTGGCCTCCTCAACGACCCCGATCTCCTGGGCCACCTTTTGGGCGGTGGCACCGTCGGCGGCCTGCTCGGCGGGCTCGGTCTCGGAGATATCCTTGGCGGCGGCAGCCCCGACCTGGTCACTTCCATCGTCTGGCTCCTCGACAACCTGCTCGGTTTAAACAGTTGCGGCTGCCACAGCGCGCTGCTGGGTGGGCTGCTGGACGACATCAAGGGTGTAGTCAACGGCCTGCTGGGCTCGTTGACCGCTGTCCACGCCTGCGGCAAATGCGGCACCTCCCCGGCTGTAATCAGTGGCGTCAACGGAGTCATCGGAAAGAGCGGGGTCCTAAGCGGGCTTGGCGTGTAGTTGAATGATTCTGGTATATGCCTTTCCCTGTTGGATATATGGACCGTTCTCTGCTTGCCGTCTTGTGTCTTGATCGTGTTTGATTGGCTCTTTACATAATTACGTGTTACTCGAATGTTATTACTGATATACGGTCTTTGGAGGGGATGTGCGTGAAAGACGAGGGCCTACTGGCGAAGAAAGTAGCGATAATTAGCCGCAGGCTGCTCTGCTACATGCTCGATCCGAGAGCGGGCATTGCGTTGCTGGGCCAATTCGTGCACACAGTATTTGGCATCTACGATTCGCTCCCACGATTCATATCCACTGGGCATCAAATCTGCCCCAGCTGATCTCCGTCTCATAACCCATTCAACAAAACTATTAATATTACACAAGACAATTGCCATACTGTAAACCTACTATATTTGATTGCACTGTAGGTGATTGTCTGGAACATATACTGTAGGCTAGTGTGTGTGGGTACAGTGCCCCGCTGTTCTGCACAGAGAACTATGTGGTGAATCAATCCATTGATCCATCCAACAACCCCGTGACTTGCTCCATACGCACTCGGGCTCTAGATTGCCGATGGACTCCCTGAGCTCGCTCTCACAAGGACCATCGAGGCTCTTTCCCAGATCTATGCTCCGCTCCTCCTGGCTGGATGATCACCCACTTCGATATCGTCGTAATGTCCGCCTCAGAATATGGAGCGACTTGAAGTTGAATGTCTCACCGCAGAGATGGTCCAAGGGCGAAAAACCGTCCGTTCATCCACTTTCTTCCTTTTCATCAATATTCTCGGGTTCTGGGCCGTCAAGAATTCATTCGGGATATTCTGGGTCCTCAGTCGAAGCTACCAATTGATTGATCGGCTGCTTTACGCACCTTGCCTCATTGCAGATCCATGCAGAGGGGAAAGATTCCGGCCCTGCGAGCTTCAGTCTACAGAAGCTGATTGAATGCTCATACTCTTCATTCCACTTCCACCCACTTTCTCCGCCTCACGGACCTGTGGATCCACATGATCAGATTTCTCAGGTTGACTGCTTCGAAAACCAGCGAGAGGATTTAGTAGTCAATTCCATCTTGTTCGGCATTATTCTGCGATGAGTAACGACTCTTCCGACAGGCTGGGATGCACAGCCTGATAATGACGCACTTCTCCTTGCATGGAAGCAACCCACGATATGCTTCGGTTTCCCAGACGAGTTTTTAAATCAGCCTCGCGATGATATGCCGCCATGTCCCTGGCCCCCGTGTGCATTTTTGATGGAGCGGTGTCCCGAAATCCGTATGCTGTTTCTGGATACGTATGCTCTGCGCAACAGCGGACGATGAGGTCAAACTTCTCACGACGAACGGTGCAGTGATCGATGACTGCCTGATTATGGAGGCGGGGAACTGAAATTCGAAAATGCCAAACTCCAATGCACAGCTGGTTGGAGGACGACAGTGGGTGTCCGGTAAGCGGCGTCAAGTGGAGAAACCGAGCGTGGGGTCGAGTGTTCTCGCCGCATTGATCCTCTTATTAAGCGATGCCCTTGAAGGTGAACGGGACCATAGCATATGCAAATCCATTGTTCCAACACTTCCCGTACGACATGGGATATATATTCTGCTTCCTAATGGGCTTGAAGGAGTTTGAGATGGTCCATTCCGCACGCGCCGCTACCCCATTCTCCGCCGACCAACCGGTATTTGCGGGTAAGTCCGCAGCCACTGACGCCACAAATCGGCGCAAGAGCGGACGGAGCCGCTGAAATAGCGCCCTCTGTCCCTGGTTGGTGGTCCAGCCCGGCCAGAAAATCGCCAGGAATAGCAAATGACAAAGACATGTGTTTTTCGTCGCCGTCGACTTCCATTGCCGCCGCGTCGGAAGGTGCCGGCGGTCGGGTCGTGGAGACCCAGCGATACATCATGGGTGGCGGCGTGTAGATATCCTCCGCCACCGCGAACATGGGATCTTCCCCGCCCTCGGCCTCTCCGTCCGAGTTAAGCATGGGCGTCGCGGCCTCGACGGGGGTCGGCAGCGCGGTCCCCATTGCAGGACCTCGTTTGCCTCGGGGCCGAGCTGACTTTTTGAGAAGACGGTTTATAGTTTCAGCCTTCGGGGTAGTTAGTCCCCGCTCAGCTGTGGAGCTAGATTTAAGCGCTAGCCTTTTCGTCCTGGAGCTTCTTCTCTGTAACATTGCGTCGCTTTCGAGCGGACTCCTCTTTGCGGAGTGCGATCTCAGTTGCGTCGAGAACGGTCTTGCGCTTGTTTTGAGACGATGGATCGATTTGATCCTCCTCCCCGTCTTCTTCTGCGAGGCGCAGTCAATGTCAATCACACTTCGAGCGTCATCAGGCGCTTGTACTGACCAGCGCCTGATGATTGAGAACTGCCACCATTGTGACGGGCCCTGGCGAGCGCGGCTTGGCGTTTCGTGAGACGTGAGTTTTGGAGTGTTTCCTCTTCTGATTCCGACGTCTCGGATTCAGATTGGACTTGTGTCAGGGCTGTGGTTCGAAAAATGAGGATCTCCGGTGCCAGGGCTCATGCGCGAACACAGGACCTCGTAGACGTTTCGCTCTGGCTAGCGCAGGGGGCGGCCGCACCTTGAACTTGATCTTGAGGGGAGATCTAACCGGGGTGACGGAGATCTGAGATAAGACCGTGGGCATGAGTCGGGGAGAGCCAAAGCATGTCTGATGGAGATCTGACCGACGGTGATCGGGACTGCTGTAACTCATCATCCTCCTCATCTTCCAGCTCGTATTCCTCGGGCTCGTCCACCTCGGGCTCGCCGCTGTCGGGGTCCTCCTCCTCGCGTTCTTCGTCGTCACCAGACTGGGACGTGCTCGCTGCCTCGGGCAGGACATCGACTTCGACCTGTTCTTGGTCGTCTCCGTCCTCTGGCTCACGGGCTTTGACGAGGCGAGCACTCGCAGAAGAGGCATTAGCGATGCGGGCGCTGGATCTGGTCGTACGCGAGCTCTGCATGGGGGAGGAGTCGCCTGACGGGGATGACAGTACGGATGAGAGTGTGGGTTGCCGTTGTTGTTATGTATATATGCCGCCGAGTCACACGGCCTCCCACATCCCACCGCGCGGGTTAACTCCGTGTGCCAACGTACAGAATCGCGAAGAAGCTCTCCGAACACTTCATTATCGTCCCCGTCCGGTTCCGGCTTCTTCGGTCGCCCGATGCTCCGCGGAGACGGGATGGTGGAAGACTAGCGCATCAGCTCGCATTCTCGTGGCAATTTTGGTATCCCCTTGCCAGCCAGCTAGCAGTGTGTGCACCGGGCAGGAGCGGAATTTGGAACACGGTGATGCTTGATGCGGCTGTGTGCGTGCGAGCTGTCATATCAGATCCAGAAGACCAGATGTCCTCGTGACTTCTCCACGTTCGGATTTACCGATGCTAACAGCTCGTTGACAGACATTCCCCGCGCAGACTAGAAAAGTCCAATCGAATGAGGATTTGAACTCGGAATCGGTGAATAAAGGAATGTTGAGTTGATCACATCCTGTAATCTAATCTGATTAAAATTTCATCGATTTGATTGACATTCTGAATTCGGAATTTGTGAGCCGCCCACATAGTTCCACACTGCAGGGGGACTTAATTTTTTTCCGTGGAAAATGCGTGACAATCTAGAAGTCCGATTTTCACCGTTCTGTTTTCAGACAAAAAATATATATTGAAAATAGACGTCGATTTACAGCTCGATTTTTACCATGAATAGACATCTATTCCTCCCGAAAACAGAACTGTAAATAGATCATCTTTTTCTTGATCGATTCCCACCGGGAATAGACGTCGATTTTCACTGGAAATAGAGACAAAGAAAAGATGATCTTTTTTCACTGAAAACAGATTAAAACCACTGGAAGAATCTGTTGATTCTGGCCCCAATTTGCATCCCTAGCCTTGCAAAAGGCTACTGGATGCTACTCACAACATGTTGGAATCATGCTGCAGGACTTGTGATGTGAATTGGGGCCAGAATCAACAGATTCTTCCAGTGGTTTTAATCTGTTTTCAGTGAAAAAAGATCATCTTTTCTTTGTCTCTATTTCCAGTGAAAATCGACGTCTATTCCCGGTGGGAATCGATCAAGAAAAAGATGATCTATTTACAGTTCTGTTTTCGGGAGGAATAGATGTCTATTCATGGTAAAAATCGAGCTGTAAATCGACGTCTATTTTCAATATATATTTTTTGTCTGAAAACAGAACGGTGAAAATCGGACTTCTAGATTGTCACGCATTTTCCACGGAAAAAAAATAAGCCCCCCGCAGTGACTGGCACTGCGGGGGGGCTTATTTTTTTTCTGTGGAAAATGCGTGACAATCCAGAAGTCCGATTTTCACTGTTGTGTTTTCAGACAAAAATATATATATTGAAAATAGACGTCGATTTACAGCTCGATTTTTTTCATGAATAGACATCTATTCCTCCCGAAAACAGAACTGTAAATAGATCATCTTTTCTTTGATCGATTCTTACTGGGAATAGACGTCGATTTTCACTGAAAATAGAAACAAAGAAAAGATGATCTTTTTTCACTGAAAACAGATTAAAACCACTTGAAGAATCTGTTGATCCTGGCCCCAATTTGCATCCCTGGCCTTGCAAAAGGCTACTGGATGCTACTCACAACATGGTGGAATCATGCTGCAGGACTTGTGATGTGAATTGGGGCTGGAATCAACAGATTCTTCCAGTGGTTTTAATCTGTTTTCAGTGAAAAAAGATCATCTTTTCTTTGTCTCTATTTTCAGTGAAAATCGATGTCTATTCCCAGTGGGAATCGATCAAAGAAAAGATGATCTATTTACAGTTCTGTTTTCGGGAGGAATAGATGTCTATTCATGAAAAAAATCGAGCTGTAAATCGACGTCTATTTTCAATATATATATTTTTGTCTGAAAACATAACAGTGAAAATCGGACTTCTAGATTGTCATGCATTTTCCACGGAAAAAAAATAAGTCCCCCTGCAGTGAGTTGTTCACGAGGCTGTCAAACAACATTTCAGTGCGCTTAGAGCTATCTCAATCCATCAAATCAGGAGCAAGAACAAACTTGAAAAGAACAAAGCATTGCTACCTTGAAGTTCTCGAAGCCAAGAGAACAATGATGGCGGCTTACCAATGCTGTGACGTCCGCCTTTGTCCTCCCCAGCTTAAAGCGTCACTTAGGAAACGACTTCATCCAGTTTCATCCTCCCTAATCGACCTACATCTGTCATGGACGCCAGACTCCGTCGGGTGAACAAGGAGATCACAGGTGTGTGCGGGCAAACCTGCACGTCAGTGCTGCGAACGCCGTGTGGGGGGGCTGCAGAGCGGGTGACATGCTAACCGGCATGCCGTAGACTGCAAGAACGACAAGGTGTCGGGGATCCGCATCGACCTCGTTGACTCGTCTCCATTCCATCTGCGGGGGGCCTTTCCGGGCCCTGAGGGTACACCCTATGAAGGTGGCACGTTCGAGGTGGTGCGTGTCCCCTCCTCTCCGCCCTCAGAAGGCGGTCGATCAATCAGTTGTTCACGCGCGTTCTCCGCTTTCGCAGGACATTGTCATCCCCGAATCGTATCCGTTCCAGCCGGTGAAGATGAAGTTCATCACCAAGGTCTACCACCCGAACGTGTCCTCCGCATCCGGCGCCATCTGTCTTGACATCCTCAAGGACGCGTGGTCACCCGTGCTGACACTCAAATCGACGCTCATCTCGCTCCAGAGCCTCCTCTGCTCGCCCGAGCCGAGCGACCCGCAGGACGCGGAAGTCGCGAAGCACTACACGACCAGCAAGCACAGCTTCGACGAGACCGCGCGGTATTGGACTAAGACGTATGCCACGCCGCATGGAGCGCCCGCGTCGCCCACGGCGCGCAGTGGTGGTGCCAGCAGCAATAATGCGCAGAGAGATGAGGTCGCGATCGCAGGTCTGGAGCAGGCGCACGTCGACCAGTTCGAGAGCCTCGGATTCCCGCGGGGGAAAGTGGTGCGTTGTGTGCTTCCGAGCGTGCGTTTCCGACCCTGACGCCACCTGCAGATCGATGTCCTGCGCCGACTCAACTACCGTGGGGCCAATGTCGCTAAGATCGGTGAGGACCGCATCGTGGAGGAGCTTCTCAAGTGAATGCCGGCTGTCTCTGCAATGCTCTGTGATTTCCTTCCTGTATCCATCATTTGCATTGGGTCTCTAATTGTATCGGTTGGCAACGATCTGTACCTCTACCACTGTTATTTTCTGTATATCGAGAACCTGCTCACGACTTTCACGTCTGCCGTGTCGTATCTCGATGTCTGTACGGCGTGGGTGTACAGACTTGTGTGTCGGAGGATCCTAGAGGACGTTGGATACTTTGACCTGTCCTTCAAAGTGCTAACGATGCCCCCCCAGTCAGTCATAGTTGGATAAATATGCATCGATGCGATCTCGCTATCCATCGTTGACATGTGGCGGTGCAATATCACGGATCAATGATATCATCATATTGCTTCTGAATGCTCCACTGCTTCAGTTAGAGTTGAGCCGACTTATCTGAAGTATCAAGGAAGAGACTCGATAGAGGATAGACAAGTGATTCTTTCGTTCCGAATACAGCAGGACTACTCAATCGCTCTCCTTGACGTCGCCACCTCCGATTTTGTATACGATCTGAACACTGGCTTTCTGGATTTCAACATTATTAGATGCGTTGAGATTTCGAGCTCTTTCTGGTCCCAGAAATTCATCAGACTCGAGTAAGAAAATGAATTAACCGCAGCAGCTCACCGAAGCTTAGTGGCAGCCAGGGGGGTCGCAGTAGAGGGTTCCGTCCGCTCCAGAGAAGCAGCTGCAGGGGACGCGCTCGTTGAGCTCAGCGGCGTGGGTGCCGACGGCGAAAGCAACGAGAAGGAGTGCGAGATGAGTGATGGAGGGGAATTGCATCTTTGAGTGAGTGTATTTTTCCTTGGGCCTCCCTGGCTTCAACTCCCCGCTTTTATGGTAAAGGGAGAGATGATTACGCAGGTCAGCAGGGCATTGGAAAATTGGCCAAGAGGTTGTGTGTGTTACGCGGGACTCCACACGAGTCTAAGGCTGCTCCAGAATGTGATTCGATCATACATATTCCAACCATTGTGCAAAGTAGCATAATATCATTGGGACGATTTAGGTGAGTTACGTGAGACTCGGCTTGGTTTTACCTATAATTGGCATGAAAGAGGGGCATACGATATCCCTGGACACTACGTAGAGCAGAGCTCGTCCCTGGAGTTTGTTCCATCCCCGTGGCGTGAGAAGGAGAGTGAATACTTGCTGACTTGCATCGGTGAACAATTGAGTGCCGCTAGCGGGATGTGATCACGAAATCATCTGGGGTAAAGACTCTGGAGAACCATTCCGCCTGCTCCAGATGAGAACTTGTGTGCAATCACATGAGTTCAACGTTGAATGGGCTCGACTGCAAAGACCCATCTCGCTTGGTCATTGCCAAGCAATTGCACATTCGCTTCTTCCCGCTTTCCTCAGCAGAAGAGCATGTGCAGGTCGTCGCTCATACATCCACACATCATCCGAGCAGTGTACGATTATGAAAACCGTGCCGAACAATCAACCGACCCAAACGGGCCAGGGCGAAAGAAAGGAAGATCGAGATTCCGGTATGTGTGCATGTCTATATACGTAACACAACCCCAAAATATCAACGATCAGACATTTGAGCCAGATAGTCAGACAACTAGCACATATCAGCGAGCGGTCTGTTGCAGAGATGGAGGATCGCACCTTGAGAGCACCGGTTCTTATGCTATCCGCCAAGTTCTGCACCTGCGGGTCGGCCATTGCCCGTCCAATCATATCCCGGGCTGAACTCTCGATCCCAGCCAGGCTGCTGCTGTCTCCGAGGTAGGAAGAGTACGATGTCCCGCTGTTGGCATATGGGTCGGCGCTGTGATGTGTAACGAATAAGCATACGTCCATCTCGCTACGAATAGCACTCACCCTTCGCCGTTCTCCTCCCGGCCGAAATACTCATCGCTGCCGATGCCTGTTCGGCCTTCGAAGTTGCGCAGCCGCTCTTGAGCTTCAGAACGAGCATTGGCATCGTACGATCTGTGTGAACTCAGACGGCGCGACCAAGACGCGAAAAGATTGACGTACCCCCGTTCGAAGTACATGTCGCTGCTGATGCCTTTCTGACCACCGAATCGATCGCGTGCGGTCGTTGGTGAGTCATCGACCGCAGCAGCACTAGTACCTGCAACAAGTGTCACAAACAGCTCGGATCGAAAACCCGAAGGACGACGAACCAGCATTCGTGGCCTTGTTGATGCCAGGGTTCAGCACAGCGCCAGCAGAGGCAATCGTCCCAGAGGAGGCAGTGGGGATCGCACCAAAGCCCAAGCGCACAAATCCGGGCTTTTGAGCGGCAGGGGAGGAAGACTGCGTAGCACCGGGAGCAGCTGCTGATGACGCGGCGGGAGTGAATGAGTTTAAAGGGGTGGCGACTGATGCAGGAGCAGCGGTGACTGCGGCAGGTGCGGACTCGCGTTCATAGCCCAATGCTTTCGTGCGTTCCTCATCTTCTCGAGCACGGCGCTCAGCTTCCGCGAAAGACATGGGGGACGATTTCTGGGCGCCTGCGGGTCGTTGTAAGAAGGATGCATAATGGGTAACTGGACACGACCTACCGAGCTTGCCCTTCTTGCTTCCTGCGCCAAGCTTGAGCGCGCCTCCTCCACTACCAGAGAGCCCTCGCGGAGCAGCCGCAAGACCAAGACGGGGCTTGGGCGCAACGGGACTTGGAGCCACGGGCGTGACAGCTGCAGCAGGAGTCGATGGGGCTGGAGTTCCAGGCTTGCTATTGGCGCGCCCGATGACAGGCACTGTGGGGGTGCCCACGCGGCTCGTCTCCTTTGGCGTGCTTGGCTTGCTCCAGCTCTCGAAGAAATCGTCCTCGCCCTTGCCCGCTTGCTCCTCCCCAGCAGCCGGAGTCGCACCCTCAACAACGATGCCCGTCGGGTTGACAGTCTGGTCCGCCTTGACCCGGCGTGCAAGCTCCTGCTTGTACAGCTCGCCGACGCGCCCTTCATATTTGGCCTTGCCCTGCAGATTGCCTCCGCCGTTCTTGTGCAGGAACGTCGAGTAGCTGGCGTTCCCGCCCACCTTCATTGCCCGCAGTTGCGCTACAGACCACGAGTCCAGGTTGGTCGAGCGCACGAAAGTGATGTGCACGCCCATGTTTCGGTGCGTGGCGGAGCAGTCGAGGCATAGGTAGACGGCGAATGTGACCGATGACCAGGTGGGGTTGCGCGCATTACAATCGAAACATATCTATTTGTGCATTGAGAAATGTGGAACTTCCCGTGTTCGACAACGCAAGCACCTTGTTCTCCTTCTGACCCTTCAGCACCGCGAAAATGCGATCACTCTCGGCCTTGGGTACTTGTTCTGCCATTGATAGCTTGCGAGTGGTGAGCGACTAGATACAGCTGGTTCGCAGGTCACCGATACAGTCCGCCAAGAATCGAAAGTGAGATTGTCAGTCGAGGATCCGGCGACGTGGAAGACGAAATCGATGTGGATTGGCTCGGCATCACAGTCACAGGAGAGGTCACATGGGTGTGACTTGACGCTGCGACCGTGGATGGAAACACCTTGTCGTTGGCAGGGTCTTTAAAATGGAATCGCGCAAGAGGCGCTGGATGCTCGCTTCGAAGACTACCTAGTCACATTTTTACACTAAACTCAGATCTATTGGGGATATCTACGTGCAAAATCACTTGTACGCTCCAACTGGTACTGATCACAATATCCCACGTGACCGGTTGGTGGCAAGGCGGCAGGCAAAGCCTGGAGTTCCAGCGGCAGAGAGAGCACTCAGCGTAACACCTCTCAAAGTCTAGGATTGTAGGTATACGACACCCGGCATCTTACTGTGCAACTCCCAAAGAAAACGGAGGAGAATTTGCTGAGCATAGGCCGGTGCTTGGTGCGCAGTTCGACTGGGCTCAATTCTCCATTGTTATGGATGGGACTTGATATTCTGTAGGAAGCATAGTACTATAACTCGTGTGCCAAGTTTCAGAGAGAACTGTGGACAATTGAATGAGTATGAGGCACAACAATCTTGCCCCAGCTCCCATCAAAAGTCCTTAGAATTTGTTCTTGTTTTGTGCGCGCTGGCAGCCCTTAGTCGATGATTGCTCGCTTCGCTCGCAATAATTTACACTATTCAAGACATATTTATCTACCCTGCGCTCCAAAATGCATCCAATCCTGTTCGGATGGAACTCACATGTGCTGTTGGGCAGTCAGCACTTGTCACCAGATGGGAAGCAAGCGACGTACCAAATGAGTTTCCTAGCTCCTGATGGCCGTCTTGTTTGTTCCATTTCAAGAGATACTCATAGCCGTCGATCCACAATGCCCACAAAGCTGGACAACGCTCACAAAGTCCGCTCTTGAGCCGGTCGAAATCTGGAATGTGCGGGGTGCGATGGTAGTCAAAGTTGCCGTAACCAGGCTCCCAGCAGATGAACAGACGCTCCAGAGAGCGTGGCAGCGTAGCAATGGTTGGTAGTGCATCGAAAAACAGCTTGATCTGTAAGTGCGCTCACTCAAAGGCCGGCTGAGATGAGAGAACTAACTCACATTGAGATTCAGTGAGGGAGACAGAATCGTCTCCGGGAGATCCCAAAGCCGCAGTCGCATGCCCACGAGATTGGGGAGGGACAGGAAGAGTTGGGACATTTGGCTTGCGTCGAGAGCGTCGACTGCAGCGTCAAAGTATGTGACGTGCGCAGACTGTATCCCCACCAACTTGTCCCAAGGAGACCATGTCAGAGTCAGCGCAGTCAAAGTCTCTCGGCTGAGAAACAGATGCGCCAGCTCGCAAGGACCATTGAACGACTCGATGACAGGGAGAAGGGAGGCAGCAAGCTCAGCAGGAAGCGTCGGGGACGGAAGACTGTCCCCTGATTCGAGACCGACAACCCGCACAACGAATCGTTTTACGGATGGAAACCTTCCCGCAAAAGCCAGCATCTTATTGATGGATTGTGGACCGCAATGGGTCGCGAGTCTGCGCAGATTCGGGAGCTCTACCACTTCATCCCAGGAGCTCGACCTCATATCCAAGTCTTGGAGAGCCAGCGGAGAGAGAAGACGGAGCCATTGGTACAACTCGTTCTTGCCAGTGGGATACTGGCGCAAAGAACATCGGGAGACTTGTAGCGGCTGCAGCGAGTGAGTGTTCTCCTCTGCCGCTTCCCCAGAATCGCGAGATCGGCAGCCCAGTATCTCTAGTTTTTCCAGTGGAGGCAGTTTTAGAAATGCGTGCAGATGCCGGAGAGCGTACTGCGTCCCAATCGCTGAAAGATAGCGTAGGGACGTGAACCTGCCGTCCGTCAGGCGAGCGAGCAACAAGTCCATCAGGACATAGGGATCGGCTGTCCGAACGTCGTAGTCTCTAATAGCGCTCTGTCCCATAAACAAGACTCGACCCGGGTCGATACGGCATGACCGCACCAAAGGCGCTATGGCGGAGGAGCACCAGAACTCGAGCCGTGCGGTCTGCTGCGCCAGCGTGTCCGGGTCGTATGCGATAGCTTGGCCCATGGCAAAGACATTGTGATACGGATGGACGATAAGTTCCGTAAATAGCAGCGTGCGGCAAAGGGGGACAAAAGCTCGGCGAGTGAGCGCGAGAGACTGAATCGTTTCGGTCGAGAGATGTCGGAAGATTTCCAGCCATAGCTCGTTGGGTACAGCGAAAGCATTCATGGCGGTCGGTTGTATGCAGCGGATACTGCGTCGTTCATATAAAAGCGATGGGCTCAAGTCATCGAACGCTGCGCGCTGCGTCAAAGGCTACGAGAGGAAGCCAGTGGCACAGCTTCCGGTCGACCCCATCTGATACGGCCATCGCCGCGGCGAATGCCCTAAGACTCCCCACGATACCAACATAAATGGTGTGCCATTCTCGCGTCATCTCTCTTCTTCCCCCACCACCAATCGAGCATGCCTTGGGAAAACGTCAAGCTGAACGACGGTGCGCTGCCTGTTCGCCTTGGTCTCTGTGTGCATACTAACCCGTACAGGGCGTGAAATCCCGACCATTGGGTTTGGGACGTGGAAGATGGGTAACGGGGACGCTCCCATCACGCAGGTGGACCAGGCGATCTCAGTGGGGTTCAGCCACGTCGGTAATATCTGCTCCAATTCCATGCCTGTCCGCAGACTCATTCCCGGTATCTGTTTGCAGATACCGCGCAAGCATACCGCAATGAGACGGAGGCGGGGATCGCGATTCGCGACAGCGGGCTTTCCCGGAAAGATATTTTCATCACCACAAAGTATTCCGGGTTGAACGGCCTGGGAATCAAAGAGTCTATCAAAAACAGCTTGGAATACGTGCGTAGGGTCCCTGCAGCTGTATAGGCCAACTCATTCCGACGCGTCGTTCGGCAGCTGGGTGTGGAATACGTCGACCTTTACCTCATTCATGCACCCCGACTCGCGCAACCGGACATCCCCACCGCGTGGAAAGAGATGGAGGACATCCAAGCGCAAGGATTGGTCAAGTGCGTGACGGCATTTGGATGACGTCGTATATGCGTGTACATGCTGATGCAGATTGTGCCCACAGGAGTATCGGTGTCAGCAACTTTGAAGTCAACGACCTCGCTATCCTTCTGGCCTCGGCCAAAGTCAAGCCCGTGGCTAACCAGGTTGGTCTGCTGTACCTCGCACAACTCAAATATGGACCACGTCTCATACACTCACAGATCCTGCTCCACCCGTACGTGTATGCGCGCCAGCTCCCGATCCTCGAGTACTGTGCCAAGCACGGTATCGTGGTGGAAGCCTACAGCGCTCTGATGTGTGTAGCTCTCGTCTGCTCCTTCCCGACTCAGGAAGACTGACGATGCGCCCCAGCCCCGTCACGTCTCTCCCCGGTGGACCTGTCGACAAGCCCGTTGCCGCTATTGCCGAGCGTCTCTCCGTCACTGCCGACCAAGTTCTTCTCGCGTGGGCCAAGGCCAAAGGCGCTGTTGTCATCACGTCGGTCATGCGTCTCTCATTCACCACAAACGATTAACACCTCTACCAGCACGAGCTCGAAGAAGGAACGTCTTCTCGGATATCTGAATGCTGGCGACCTCGGTATGGGCATAACTCGAGCACTGGCTACGCTCTCCTGATAGGTTCTCTAGCCCTTACTGCCGAAGACATTGCCGCCATCGAAGCAGCCGGTGCCAAAGGCCCACCGAAATCGCTCGTCCGCCGGATCGTGTTTAGTGCCGCCCGGGTTGCGCTCATCGCAGCCGTGGCCTTGACCATCAACAGCCGTTTCTTCTGAGCAAAGTGGCAGGACCCTGCCAGTGTAGCGCGCCGACTGTTTCCATATCTACATGTACAGAATCAGATGTTTCACTGGACAACGAGTACGCAAATATGAAGGCTGACTGCGCTCTTGTCTCAAAAGCAGCACGTACTACTGCTGCTGGTTACGAAAGAACGGTGACCATCTCACGGAAGCAATCTCGAACCCAATGGACCTTGCGGAGGCTATTGGCGACTGACGGGTGCTTGTTAGCTAGCTTCAAAACACACAAACTGGGACCCACCAGCACTCTCATTCCCCGGATGTGCACGATCAAACCACTGCACTCTGTCCGGTTGGGCGGTCCATTGGTAGAGCGACTCGTATCCGTCACAGAACAGGACCTGCAGCCCACTGCATCGCTCCCTCAGTTGGTCGCGGAACCTGTCGAGGTCCCTGCGGTTCATAGGGTCGATGTATGACGCGAAGGGGACATTCATGTATTCGATCGAGATGGCGAGGTTCTTCAACGTCGGAGGAGGAGCGAGCGAGCTGACGCCGTCCGCGAGGCTGCGGAACAGAGTGGCAGGCCAAGATGCCTTGCTTTCGTGATACACCCAACGCGTCGAAACATGGATCCGGAGCGTCTCCAGCATGGGGCATCGCTCAAAGACAGCTACGAGAACTTCCAAGTCCACAGTCCAGAGACCTAGTTCCACGAATGTCAAATTCGAGGCAACAGGAAGCAATTTGATGAGGCCCAATGCCGTATTCGCGTCCGGCCAATACGTGGTCAGATGCGTCAGGTTTGGCTGAGAAGCGAATGAATGCGCTGTGTGCAGTGGACCGGTGAAGCTGTGCAGAGCGGGCAGATCTGAGTAAGGCCGTTGTGCGATGTCACTGGCCAGCACATCCATTTGCCACGAATCAGGCCTCGTCTTGACCTCCATGGCTTCGATCCCGGTGTATCGATGGATCTCAAAGATGGCATCCGCCGCCGAGATGGGCTCAGCGACCTCGAGGAAGAGATATCTCACTTGAGGAAGGGTGTGGTCGCTATTCTCCGGGAGGCCGACCTGGGATACGATAACCCGGAGCGTGGTCAGGCCAGGAAACGATCGCGCCGTTCGGGTGATCTGGCAGAAGGGGACGGTGGACGTCTCCAACGTCAATTTGCGAAGATGCCCAAAGCCAGGGCTTGGCAGAGCGCGCAGAACAGCGTCTGTCCCAGCTCCATATCTCGGAAAGGTCAATACGTCGATCGTTTCGGGCGAAAGGAAGTGGATAAGCGTCAGGTCGGCGGCATCATCCGGGGTGGTCGATAGCAGCTTGACTGTTCTGGCCCGGATGGTATGCCACAAGGCTTGCGGGTCGTCGATCCCGCCACCCTCCCGACCCATTCTACACCGGATCACAGTAAGCAGCTCCAACTCAGCAACTGTCGCCAAACCAACGAGCACCTCGCGTGTTAAGTCAAGCTCGCATAGCTCCAACTGTCGCAGGGCCGCGAATCGAGGTAGAAATCGCGTGAAGAAGGGAATCAGTAGGGTGTTGTACACATCGGCCGCGGGCCCATCCCGACCGTCCCATCCATCACGTTCGGAAATTTCGGTTATGCTCGTCACAGTGCATGTCTGCACGTACGCCGCTGGACCTGCAGCCGATCGCGCTTCCAGTCGCGCCAATTTCTCGTCCACTCCCAGTGGATAGAGCAAAACCGGCGCTTCTGATGTCCCTGTACTGATAGAGTACGGATGAAGCGTGAGGCCTCGCAGGAGGGTCGGTTGGGCTAGGTCGTGGAAACGGTGAGATACCCAGGTGATGGAACGACCGAGGTCGACGCTAGAGAGATGGTTCAATATCTGGAGCCAGACCTCGTTCGGGAGATCGGGAAGGTCCACTTGAGGAGATTGAATTCCCAAGAACTCAGAGAGGTAAAGGGACGCGAGCAGTTTTGACAGCATATTGGGGATCTGGGGTAAGTTGCGTACTTAGTAGGGTGCCAACCCGGTTATTGACGAGCAGCTTCGGCCCGGGCCGACCGAAACTCCTTCTTCCATGACGCTATCAGACAAGTTGTCATCTCAGATTCCGCTGCTAGCGCGAATTCATGCTGCACGTTTTCGCAAACTCTTCTTCATCCTTCTTTGCGCAGTAACCTGAAGAAGCCAGTCTGTTCTCGCACACTAGAGAACTAACGACTGAGAGCCCGACGGACATCGCCTGACTGCTGATCGTCTGCTCTGCACCTCAGCCCACTTCCTACAAGATGGGCGCTTTTGGACTGCTTGTCAGCGCCTTGTCGTGAGGGGCCTAGGATATGGAAACAGTGCGGCAAACATGCCGAATAGTGGCACAGCGTGAAGAAGGGAATTGGATAAAAAGAACTCGGAATGTGACATTTGCGCCCGACCCCCTCTCACCATGGACTCTCTCAAGCTCCCGCTGTGCGGTCTCGCAGCCGTGCTGTCCCTGCTCTACTTGCGTCCCCGCCGCTCAGTGAGTCCACCGCTGTCGGAAGGAACGCTCCAGTCTGACGCCGCGCAAAGGCCCCAGGGAACGGCTCCATCCCGCTCATCATGGGGTCCGACTCCAACCCCTTTTCATCGTATCTCGGTGCGTGGCGCGCGTTCGCCGACAGCCTCGGCGTCGTGCAGCACGGATACGAGCAGAACCGCACCGGCGTGTTCCGCGTGCCGGGTTTCTGGCGCTGGGAATACGTCGCGAACGGGCTGCAGCGTGCACTCGAGATTGCGGCCGCGCCCGAGGATGTGTTATCGTTCCAGGCCGCGGCTGAAGAAGTGCGTATCTTGCTATCATCATCGTGTATGCGTCAGCGGGCCGTCCGATTGACGGACCGCGCTGCAGGGCCTGCAATCTGACTGGACGATGGGCAAATCGCTCACTCGGAACCCGTACCACGTCAACACCATCCGCGCTGGATTGACACGCAACATCGCCCGGTCGTTTCCCCAGGTTCGGGAGGAGATGGTCCACGCGTTTGACTTTGCATTGGGATTAGAGGGCGAAGGTCGGTGTCAACCTCATTCTGTCCTGATCTGCGGCGTCTGACTGGTGGAAATGAAACACACAGAATGGAAACTGGTTGCGGCCATGCCGATGGTTATGCAGATCGTGGCGCGTACGAGTAACCGTGTCTTCGTCGGGCTCCCTCTGTGTGCGGTACATCACGCTTGTGCCGACTCCGATCTAACCCATTCCGGCAGGCCGGAACCCAGAATATCTGCAGCTCAATATCGACTACACCATCGATATCGTCACCCGTGGGGGACTCATCCGCCTATTGCCTGACTTTCTGAAACCGTGAGCAGTCCTGGAAAGACAGCTTGTGTCAAAGTACTTTTGTGCTGATGTCATGCGGCGATAGTCTGCTAGCTCCGTTGCTATCATCCAAGAACAGCTCGCTTCGTCACGCGCTCACCTTTATGCGACCGATCCTCCAGGAGCGCATAGATATGGATGCCAAACATGGAAAGGAATGGGCTGATCGACCGGTGAGTCAGTCCGATCATCCGAATGCCTACTCACACACGCGGGATGATCCAGAACGATTTCATCTCGTGGCTCATAGACGACCTCCCGGCCACGGAAGAACCTACGGTCGAAGACCTTGCGCTTCGGATCCTTGCTGTGAACATGGCAGCGATTCACACCTCGTCGACGGTTCGTGCTTCTGCCGCGAGATGGAGGGCACGATCAGCTGACGCTTTACGCAGACACTGACAGCAGCATTATACGACTTGGCCAAGTATCCTGAATATTTGAAACCCCTGCGAGAAGAAGTGGAGCGCGTCACTGAAGCAGAAGGATGGACCAAGGCCTCTCTCGGCAACATGCACCAGATCGATAGCTTCTTGCGCGAGTCGCAACGATTGCACGGCAGTGGTTCCCGTGAGTGATGCCTTGAAGTCGAGCCGTCCGACTATCGCTCATTGGGAGATAGTCGCGCTATTCCGTCAAGTCGTTGCGAAAGATGGATTCACTTTCTCGGATGGGATCACTATTCCATATGGGTCCTTCCTTGGCGTACCTGCGTCGTCTGTCCAGCTCGACCCAGGTGTGCTTCCTCCATCGCTCGGCACGGATCCGTGGCTGATTACTCGGCCAGAGTTCTATGAGAACCCAGACACGTTTGATGCATTTCGGTTTTCCCGGCTTCGGGAGACCAGCGGGACGTTCAATCGGCTGATGGTCACGACCAATGCACGGGACCACCTCGTCTTCGGGCATGGCCGACATGCCTGTCCGGGGCGGTTCTTCGCTGCGGCAGAGCTTAAGGCGATGCTGGCGCATGTCGTGCTCAACTACGACGTCAAGGCAGAGGTACCCGGCGTCGGTCCTCCAGATGCATGGTTTGGGACCGCTCGATTCGCCAATCCGAAGGGCAAGATTTGGGTGAGGAAGAGGGTGTGAGCTGCGATCGATTGCTGCGAGTCGAATCTTGACTACTCTGTACTTGTATCGTCCCATGCCACTCATCCATCCATCTATCCATGCATCATCCATCTTCAGTCGCGGCGCTCGAACACCCGGATCTCGATTTCAGGCAGAACAGCCTTCCACCGCTCCCGCTCGTTGGACCCGACCGTGTCTTCCATCCGCACCAGGAAGGGGTCGATGTACGACGCGAAAGGAACGTTCATGCATTCGATCGAGATGGCGAGGGTCTTCAACTCCATCGGAAGGGTGAGCGAGTTGACGTTGTCGGCGAGGCTGTGGAAGAGTGTGAGTGGCAGGTCAGGACGCCTGGCTCATGATACACCCCATGCATCGAAACATGAATTCGAAAGGTCTCCAGCAAAACGCATCGCTCGAAAACGACTACCAGGACCTCCACGTTCACAGTGGAGAGAATCGGTTCCACCAACGCCAAACTCGGGGAAGAAGGCAGAATCTTGATCAGTCCTAAGGCCTAATCCCTTATCCGTGTCCGGCCAACACGTCTTCAGATGCATCATGTTTGGCTGAGCAACGAAGGAACGCACTGTGCGCAGTGCATTGGTAAAGCTGTGTAGAGCGGGAAGATCTGAGTAAGGCCCTTATGCGAAGTCGCTGGCCAGCGCATCCATTCGCCACGAGTCAGGCCTCGATTTGATCTCCATGGTGGCGGCCCCAGTGTATCGGCGCATCTCAGAGATGGCAGTGGCCGCCGAGTTCGGCTGAACTACTTATCTCCAGAAAGACATGCCTGACTTGATGAAGCGCGTGGTCGCGGTCGCTATTCTGCGGGATGCCGACCTAGGGTACGATCGCGCCGTTTCGGTGATTTGGTGAAAAGGGGACGATGGACGTCTCCACCGTCAACTTGCACAGATGAGCCAGGCCAGGACTTGGCAGAGCGCGCAGAACAGCGTCTGTCTCAGCCCCATATGTCGGGAAGGTTAAGGCGTTGATCGTTTCGGGCGAAAGGAGGTGGATAAGCGTCAGGTCAGCGGGATCCGAGTCATCCGAGCTGGCCGATAGTAGCCTGACGGTTCTGGTCCGGATTGTATGCCTCAAGGCTTGCTCGTCGTCAATCCGGCTACCTTGGTTACCAATTCTACACAGAATCACAATAAGCAGCTCTAACTGCCCCAGGGCTGTAAGTCAAGGTATGAACCGCGTGAACAGAGGAATCGGCAGGGCGTTGCACCCATCGGCAGCGGGTCCATCACCACCGTCCCATCTATCACGTTCGAAAATTTCGGTTGTGCTTGTCCTGGTCACAGTACACCTTACCCCAGATTCCTAAACCAACATGCAACGGCTCTTGGGAACCGAATCTCAATCACTGGACATTCCCGATCTCCTGAATGAGGTCTGGCTCCAGATATTGGATCATCTGTCCAACCTCGACCTGGGCCGTTCCGTCACCTGTGTCTCCCATCGTTTCCACGATCTCACGCCCTTCTGCAAAGTCTCACGCGTCACCCGTACGCTATCGACACAGGGGCAGCAGCAGCACCGTTCTTGCTCATCGACTAGGAGTGGACGCGAGATTGGCGCGACTGAAAGCAAGATCAGCTGCAGGGCCATCGGCATACGAGTAGAGTAGAGTTTGCGAGCGAGCTGCCGACTCGGCAAGATCCGATCGAAGCTCTTCCTTCTGTCACAAATGTCCAAGTCCAGCTCCCTCCCCATCTCAGAATTCACTGCTAGCGCGAATTCGTCATGCACGTTTTCGTGGACTCTTCTGCATGCTTCTTTCTAGGAACTGAAGCAGTCAGTCTGTCTTTCGTACAGCACAGAGAACATCCCAGCTGCTTGCGCGTCTCCATCCCAGGCCACTCCCTAGAGCTGCTATCATGGATGGGAGCAATTAGGCGTTTTTGGCCCGCTCATCAGGGCGCCAAATCGTATGGACTGCCGCGGATTTGTTCCCACTGGGATCTTTCGTCGGCTGATAGAAGGGATCTCGCTCAAAATTATCCGTGAGTTTGAGCCGATCACGCGCGGGTCGCACTCGAGTCAGCGCCTTGTCCCGAGGAGCGGGGGACTGGGAGGGAGTGCGGCATGCATGGCGGCACAGGGTGAGTAAGGACTTGCATAAATAGAGCTTGATTTCTGACATGAGCGCCAGGACCCTGTCTCTATGGACTCCCTCAAGCTCCCGCTCTGCGGCCTCGTAGCCCTGCTATCTCTGCTTTACCTGCGTCCCTGCCGCTCAGTGAGTCCATCGCCACACGAGGAGCTTCGAATCTGACGCCGCCCAAAGACCACAAGGAACGGCTCCATCCCGCTCATCATTGGATCCGAGTCCAACCCCCTCTCGACGTACCTCAGTGCGTGGCGCGCGTTCGCCGACAGTCTCGGCGTCGTGCAGCACGGATACGAGCTGGACCGCACCGGCGTGTTCCGCGTGCCGGGTTTCTGGCGCTGGGAATACGTCGCGAACGGACTGCAGCGTGCGCTCGAGATTGCAGCTGCGCCCGAAGATGTATTATCGTTCAATGCTGCAGCCGAGGATGTGCGTATAGTGCTGCCATCATTCATACGTCAGCGGACCTTCCGATTGACGAACTGGGCTGCAGGGCCTGCAATCCGACTGGACGATAGGCAAGGCGTTCACACGGAACCCGTACCACGTAAACACCGTTCGTGCTGGATTGACGCGCAACATCGGTCGCTCGTTTCCTCAGGTTCGGGAGGAGATGATCCACGCGTTCGACTCTACATTGGGATTGGATGGCGAACGTCGGTGCCAGCCTCATTCTGCCCTGATCTGCTCCGTCTGACTGGTGAAAACGCAGATTGGAAACTGGTTGCGGTGATGCCGACAGTGAGGCAGGTAGTGGCGCGCACGAGCAACCGTATCTTCGTGGGACTCCCTCTCTGTGCGCGATCCTGCGTGAAGGCCGACGGCGAGCTAATCCATTACGGCAGGCCGAAACCCGGAGTTTGTGCAGCTCAATATTGACTATACTATCGATATTATCACTCGTGGGGGACTCATCCGGCTGTTACCCCACTGGATAAAACCGTGAGCAGTCTTTCAGGGACATACCTGCCGAAGCAACTACCTGTGTTGATCAATGCGGCCTAGTCTGCTAGCCCCCTTGTTATCATCCAAGAACAGCTCGATTCGTCACGCGCTCACGTTCATGCGGCCAGTCCTCCAAGAGCGCTTGGATATGGATGCCGAACATGGAAAGGAATGGGCTGATCGACCGGTAGGTTGGCTTGACCATTCGAATGCCTGACTGACACATCGGATCACCTAGAACGACTTCATCTCGTGGCTCATAGACGACCTCCCGGCCAATGAAGAGCCTACGGTGGAGGACCTCGCGCTGCGGATCCTTGCTGTGAACATGGCAGCGATCCACACCTCGTCGACGGTGCGCACCCCAACTGCAAGACGGACGGCGCGACAAGCTGACGCAGGGCGCAGACACTGACAGCGGCATTGTACGATCTGGCCAAGTACCCTGAATACTTGGGACCTTTGCGGGAAGAAGTAGAACGCGTCACCGCAGCGGAGGGATGGACCAAGGCTTCTCTCGGCAATATGCACCAGATCGACAGCTTCTTGCGCGAGTCGCAACGAATGCACGGCAGTGGTTCCGGTGAGTCATGCTCGCCGTCGGCCCGATAATTACTCATGAGGAGATAGTCGCGCTACTCCGCCAAGTCATTGCGAAAGAAGGATTCACTTTCTCGGACGGAATCACCATTCCATGTGGCTCCTTCGTCGGCGTCCCCTCGTCTTCGGTCCAGCTCGATCCAGGTGCGCTTTTTCTGCCGGGAACGAATGCGAGGCTGATTACTCGCTCAGAGTTCTATGAGAACCCGGACGCGTTTGATGGTTTCCGATCTTCCCGACTTCGAGAGACAGCGGCGACGTTCAATCAGCTGATGGTCACGACCAATGCACGGGACCACCTCGTCTTTGGGCACGGCCGACATGCCTGTCCGGGGCGGTTCTTCGCGGCGGCAGAGCTCAAGGCGATGCTGGCGCATGTCGTACTCAACTACGACGTCAAGGCAGAGGTACCCGGCGTCGGACCCCCAGATGCATGGTTCGGGCCCGCTCGATTCGCTAATGCGAAAGGCAAGATTTGGATGAGGAAGAGGGTGTGAGGAGCTGCGATCGATTACTGCGCGTCGAAGCTTGAATACTCTGTACTTGTATCATTCCCATGCCACTCTTCCATCCATCCATCCATCCATCCATCCTCAGTCCTGGCGCACGAACACCGCGCTTTTCTCGAACACCCGGACCTCGATTTGGGGCAGAACAGCCTTCCATTGCTCCGTGTTTGCGTTTGTCGTCATATGCACAAACTCGGGCGTCTCTGCGAATTCGGCGTGGGACCATTCGTGGAACGACAGGTACTGCACGCAGTCCCCCGAATCTGTGTTCACCCGCCGCCGATATCGACGCGATCTTGACCACCCAGGGACCCTCCGATAGTCCTCCAAATGCTCCCCCTCGTACCACTGATTGAACTCGATCTCGTCTTCCCTCCGCACGAGGATCGCTGCGAGGAACAGAATCTCAGCCGGCAAGGATGTGGTGGAGGACCCTGCTGTGTCTGACGTGAAAGTCGATCGGTGCGCGTACTCGGATTGTACGGGGTCGCTCGTCTCGAGAAAGTGCATCCACTGAGGACTGCGGTCGTCGATCGCACGATAACGGATCCCGGAGGTCACTGAAGCATTCAGTATGGATGGATGAATGAATAGAATGGACGAATGAGAGAGCACGCCTATGAGTGCAGTCGACTCGTACACACCTTCCACCCCATTGATCACTGTGCCCCAATCCGCCTCGGACTCCGTGTACACCACGAGAATATCCTTCGTCTCCGGGCTTGTTGCATCCATATCAGTGTGCAGTGCAGGTTCCCTACAAGTTGCGGTGCTGGTGCCCAGTTTTACGGGACGCCAAGCAGGCCGTCCATGCCCGGCAGACCACGTTGTCCTGTTTATCTATACATCCATGACCCAACAGGACCGAATGCGAATGTATGCGCAGCCCGTGCCTGGGCAGGCCCGCCAGTATCAGTGTTTCATCCCTTAGGCGAATGTAATGAGTATTCCTTCGCAACCGTCTCGACTGACGTACTGGCACGACCCTGGAAGGCATTACCCCTGCCGCTTTCTTGAGGTGAATAAACACTGGGGATGTCGCCGGACGGGACGTGATTTGGATCAATCAGCTTGATCTGGTCGTTGTTCCTCGGCCCAACTCGGGTGACTTAGGACTGGTCGAGCTCAGAGTCGTCTCTCGAAAGAAGAAGCAGTGGAGATTGATACATGGCATGATACAAACAGGCGATATCAGAGCGCGGACACAAACTTGTAGCAACGATTACAAGGTGAACAACATCTGGACATCATCCAGTCAGCCAGAGCGAGCGGCGCAGAATCCAAAGCCACTCACTATTCAGACACAGTTTTGATTTCCCACAATCCATTATTCCTGACCAACCCCACAAACAAGCACTGTGAGCCCAAAAAGTCGATCCGCTTTAGGCCCTTTTCCCGTTCTTCCTTCTCGAGGTGCTGCTTCCGCAGTCGCCGACACCGAACGGTCCACGTCGACGTCAGCTCTGCCCGGTCGACCTTGCCCAGTTCGGTGTTGAAAAAGTCCTCAGACGAAACTGGCTGATCGAGCTGGGTGTGCAGAGCAAACAGCAGGTCGTAGAGCGACACGCCCGCAGATCCAGGCTTCGATGCGACATCGATGTACCACGGCAGACGCGTGTGGTACAGTCGCATTCTGGCTGCAGGCGGCGAGGTGGCCTCCTCTAGCAAGGCATGGGGATTCGAAGGAGAGAAACGGCCCATGTGTGAAGTTTGCTGGAGCGAGTCCCGCATGTCGTACTTCAGCGTCGGCTTCGCAGGATTGTACACGAGCACTGGCAGCAACGTCCGTTTCTTGAGATCAATCCAATCTACATCCCACGAAGTAAATCAGCAATTGCACACGACGACTGTAAGAAAGCCTGGGGGCACGCACCGCTGTTCGCGTCAAGGCTCTTCTTGCGGAAGAATGAGAACGTTCCATCGGCAGCATGCGCATGCCGCGGAGAGTATCCCTCCCGCCACGCCGCTGGGCGTGGAGCGAGGTTGTGCTCGCTTAACGGGAGGGGCTGTTGCCCCCAACCAGGGGTCCCTGCACCTCCAACCGAATTCGACCGACCTCTCAGCTTGGAAGAGGTGGCGCCGCCGTTTCGCGACTTGGACCGCGCTAACGCCAACGCTTCCATCGTACGTGGATCATGAGCCCAGGCCGGGCGATCGCTCGGCGCAGCATGCTCCATGCCCCACGAAGCTTGCAGGGCGGGGGTCGCCGGTAAGCCACCAGCCTGAGCAGCAGCAAAACCCTGCGGCCCCAGCTGTGGCCGCCCCATTGGTTGCTGTACTGGAGTGTTTTGGACCCATGCTGGGATTGTCGAGCCAGAGGGAAGCTGAGACCAGGGATCAGCTCTCGGTTTCCCCTTCGACTGTGGCTGATTAACGTGCGGGGCGTGACCCCAGTCTGCGCCATTGAGCGTCTCCTCCTCATCCGAATAATCGAAGTACTCCTCGCCCTCCTCGAGCTCCTCCGTCGGGTCATACACGCCCCACTTCTTCGGCCCGGCTCCCTGGGAGGGGTACGCCGTTGCATTGGCGTAACCCGGCGGAAATCCACCACCACCGCCACGGTCTGCACCAGCCCCCGCCCCAAACCAGCTGTTCGGCTGACCCATCGGCGGCTCGGGCGGTGCAGCCATTGCACTGAAGCCGTCCGCGTGCGTCGGCGAAGTCATCCCTGCAAACTGCTGCGGGCCATGCGCCGGACTCGGGCCCCATCCAGGGACGCGCGACTGACCCCATCCAGGGTGCGGTGTGGACGGTGCGGAATGGGCCTGGGCCTGGGCACCCCACCCGGGCCACCCAGCGGCCGCAGGCAGCCCCTGCGGCTGTGGCCCCCACCCGGGCGGTGCGCCGAGCGATTGCTGGCGCTGCATCCCCGGCGGCGGCCATTGCTGCTGGCCCGTCGCAGGGGGTGCGTGGCCAGACCACGGAGGCGCCGAGGCGGGCGGTGCGGATTGTTGGTGTTGCAGCCATGGGGTCTGCGGCGCACCGGGCGTGGGCGGGCGGCCGCCGCCGAGGGCGCCCCAGCCTTGCGCGGCCATGCTGCCCCATGGATCTGCCGCACTGAGTCACGCCGGCGCGTGAGTAAGCGGCGCTGGTGGCTGAGAATGCGTGATACGCACCCGGATTGACTCGATTGACGCCCATGCGCCGCGAATCCAGCGAGGGGACCCGATGCCGGCTGTCCGCCCATAACGGCACTCGTCGGTGGCGGGATGTATCCTCCTCCTCCGGCCCACATGTTTGTAAGGTACAGTTGGAGGGTAGTGAGACGCGTGGCAAGGCCTCAGTGCTAGACGAGGCTTGCAGGTTGCGGAGTTTGTGCGTTGTTATCTTCCAGAAAGCCGTGTGGATCTAGAGCAGACGGGGGTTATCTCAAAAGGGAGTTCACAGCAGTCGAAGTAAGTGGAAGCCCTGGCAGATGGTGCATCGTTGCATAGGTTCTGATGGCTGTGCGTGATTGCAATGCATGAGTCATGTGACCGAGATCTTCGTCGAAACTGAACACGGTATCATTGGCATCCGTTCATTCCTTCAAGGATGAACGGATGAACTTTCCATGAATATCTCCGCGGCTGTCCGGTTCTCTCAACTCCTGACGCCCGTCGCAGCTTACTCAATAGGAACCTTCGTGCTGGCAATCACAGATGATCATCCAGCAGTCCTAGCCCCTCGCATCAGCCGGTGCAGTGGGTTCTCACGTCAGTCCTAACTTGATCTTGAACTTTGAGAATTAGTCATTGTTGCCTTGCTTGTCAAGGCACTCTCCACACTCATAATTCGCTCTTTTTGATGGCCTTGTTGATCCGGTGACGCTGTTCCGTGTTCTCCCGAGGCGTGCGTGGCTTACAATGGTACACTCGACCACACACGCGTCCCATAAAGCACGCTCCATCCTTTTTTGTTCGTGCACTTCATGTTCGCGTCTTCAATATAGCGTTTTAAACGGTTATAACTATTTTTATTTTCATTTTGTTTAGGGCATGGTCTACACAATAAACAAAAATTTAGTAAATGTTTAAATGGTTTCTTCTGGGGCTAACTGATCCTGTGTCTTAACTTCCCTGCACACTTGTCCCTAGTCTCTTTTACTGAATTCCCGCTCATACCTCGTTCCTAAACATGTCTCACACCGCTGCCACAACTTAATTCAATTTACTGCTGACTTGCTCCTGCTCATTGCTCATCCAATTGACCCTGCACATGCAGCTCCCCGCCTTGCTGGATTGCTTCAGTCTTTGAAATTTTTAGTTCCCTCTATTGTATTCGTTCATTTCATCTTAATCTAGATCTGTTTCCTCATTTAATACACCGCTGATTTCGTATTTTCCTTTTGCCTCAAATAACTAATCGTTTAAAAGGTTTTAAACAGTTTCTTAAACATTTGTAACCGATTTCATTTATTTTAGGGCCAGTGCTACTTTCACAAAAGAGAAAAGGTTGGAACTCTACGCGATTATGCATAGTTACTTATCATTGGCATGCAATGTCATTGTATGTTACTCAAGCAAGGCATTCAGTCGCCAAGGGCGACGCTTTCTAGTGCTGATTGGTGCATCTTTGCTTAGGTTCTGATGGCTGTGCGTGATTGCAATGTATCCGTCATGTGACCGAGATCTTCGACGACTCCTTTGCACCGCTCATCCTTTCGAGGATGGGCTATCCTTGGGCATTCGTGATCTACACGGATTCTCCAGTCTCTCGAACTCTCATATAGTCACACAGTGAGAGTCTACTCGAGAGTGATCTTCATGCCGGCAATTAAAGATCATCAGGTAGCATTTCCAGTCCCTCGCGTCACTGACGTTGACGCGCTCTCACGATAGTGCCCGCTTCATCTTTGATTTTAGCAATTAGTTATTACGCTGATTCGAAGACCAACAGCTTGTATCCGTTCGTACTAATCGCAATTAGATCATCAGAGTGTTTCGACAAACACCCCTGAGTACAACAACGCCTCGCTCTTTGCCTCCTGGATACCGAAATGCACGACATCTCCTTGATGAGCGGCAGTGTCGGACGGGTCCGCGATAGGAAGCTGCGAAGCGAAGGGGTGGCAGTCAGTCAGATGTTGAGTTCCCCATCCGCAGCCAACGACGACGCACCTTCAGGACACCAAAGTGGAAATCGCCTAACGCGCCCGCGGTGACGCCCGAGTTGGCCTTGGTTCCGCTGACGTCTTTGAGCTGCGCTCCATCGACGGAATATGCGACCGCCAGCGTCAGCTTCGACCAGTCCACGGTCACGGCGAAGTTGTGCCACTTGGAGGGCACGAACGGCGTCTCGAAGAGGACGTTCAGGGCGTGGTCGCGGATTTTGAAAGAATGTGCGTCGGCGGTGGGTAAGTTGCCGGTTGGGATCGTGAAAGGCGAGCCTGAAATGCCGTGATCCGTCAGCACTCTGCGGCGCGGTAACAAGGTGCGTAGCGAGAGATCAACAGACCGAGCTGGACTTCAAACACATGCGATCCGTCGTTGGGCTCGATGAACACAATCTGATACTCGTGGCTGTAATTCAGCGGCCGCGACTCGTCCATCTTGATGGAGAAATGAAACACCGAGGTGAGTCCGGGCGACTCGATCAGGGGATCCAACACGCTCGAGCTCCCGTTGACTTGCGCGATGAGCTCCGTGCGCCGGAAGCCCAGCTGCGGTGCCCCACCCCCTGGCACAAAGACCGAAGTGCTGTCGATCGAGACGGCGACGGCCTGCTCGATCGGCTTCCCCGGTCGGTTCCAGAGTGCTGTCGGCAGCCGTTTGCTGCCGAGAAGGGTGGAGTACTGCCAAATGAAGTCTCGTCGGACTGCAGCTCACGCCGGGGTCAGAACTCGGGAGAGACTTACGTGCGACGCAGATTGGTTTTGTCCCTTGACGGCCCTGGGAGGCGGTGAGTCGGGCGGTTCTCATAGAAAGTCTCTCAGGGATGACTGACGTGAGATATGGGCCACGGGATGCGTCGAGGTCGGCCTGCGTCAGGGTGAGCGGGGCCCGCCCGTCGTAGATCACCGAGCCAGCGGCGCACATGCTGACGGCGGACAAAAGTGCCAGGAGCCTCATGTTATTGCAGTGTGGGGGAGGTCGGGATTAGTTTTTGGGAAGACGGTTTGAGTTTCCTCGCTCCCACATCGGGTGCTCTTTTATAGCGGGTATATTCTCGGACAAACGGGACATTCACATGGGCGTTGCGGTTTCTCATAAGGTTAGGCAGTTTCGCTGAAGGCTCGCATGCAGAGTGTGGGTACCGGCGGCTGCCGGCGCATAAACGGACTTCAGCTTAGCCCTGCGCTCAGCACGCCATGCGGATCCAGAGAGGGGTCGTGCACGCGGATCGTGTTTTGGTCATGATAACGATAGCGATGACATCCGTGCGCGACACGGTCTGTGCACTGAAGTTCCAAAAATTATTCACGCGCTATTTACGAGCCTCTGTACGTTATTGCCTTTGTCTCCCCCCCAACGACTCGCCGACCTCCGAGCGTCTAATCCACAAGATTTTCGAGAATGCAGGTGTCGAGAATATCGATGATTTGCGGTACTGTGTTGCAGTTTGCTCAAAGTCCACTACCCTGGCGGTTGGAGAAGTTCCAGCGTAGACACAAGAAAAGCCGCTGCCGATCACCGCTGAGATCGGGGCGTCTAGCGCTTAGAATTTCACCTGACAGGCAGTGCTGTGGTCGGAAGACTCGGAAATGAAGTATGTAACTAAGATGCAGCACACTTCCTCATTGGGACCGCGCTGATAATCTATCTACCCAAGGCCCCCGACTACTTCCCACCAGGTCGATCCCTGTAAATCAGCCCTAGAAGGCTGATTCGCACGAACACCTCGGCTGTCTGAGTATTGATTCCACTGTATAGAACCGAGGTCCTAGATTCGGGTAAATCTGCAACTTTCCATAGCGCTCTGATCAAAGTTCGGTCTGATTTCGTCTGCTATCCGCTTGAGGCTCAGTCCGCAAGACCTGATTTACATGATACAGTGGCATGATTTACAGATTCCTGACTGACTCAATAGCCGGGGACTTCCTGCTCACCTCACCTCGCCAGCCGATTTACTTCTGGCACATTATTAAACCGGGTACCAGAGCTACATTATGGCTGGACCATACTTATGAGATGTCACAACGCATCACAAACTGAATTGTCACCGCGTAGGCAAGTATCGACATGTGTCCTATAGCACTCGAACTACAACGCCGGCTGAATGGATTTATAGAACAAGATTGCTGGGGGCTACGAATTTCAAAAACGTCAGTCATGACACCACACCACGTGAACGCCCGCTGCGCTCGCGCTCGCACCTTCTCCATCAATCCGCTCGCCTTGAGCTCGGCCAGAAGCGGGTTCTGCGAGTGCGCCTGCAGCGCCTCCATGTCCTTGAATCTACACACAAACAACGCACGGCCCATCAGCAATCGGCTCCCGTCGCACGAACCCCGCGAAAGGGTCTCACCGCTCCCACGAAACGAAGACATCCGTGCTGCCGTTCCGCGCGATCGAGTACTCCAGCGTACCCGGCTCGTTCTGCTTCACGTGCGCGAGCAGTTTCGTGAATCGCACCTCGATCTCGTCGCCCGCTCCTGGCTTGCCGGTAATCTGATCAAATGAGATAAGATTACGGCGGGCACTCGTGCAGATCGGATCGGTGTGATGGGGGCAGTCAGCAGAGACGACGCACCGTAGCCGTAAGCACGATCTCGCCTTTGGGCTCAGCGGGGGATGCAGACATGGGCTTGCTTCGTCTAGTGTGGGGTGGTGGTGGTGGTGGTGGTGGAGAGAAAGAAGGAGAGCTTTTGGCCACGGGTCATATCTGATCAGTCCGGCATTTCGAAACCCGAACCGGCGATTTTCTCGAAGATCGCCGTCTGTTTGTCAGCCAATCAGTCGACGGATCATTCACACAATATTCCAAACAGACAAGATTCCGTCGTGGATGGCTGAGGAGGTACTGAGGCCCGAAAATATGATCTGTGAGGTCGACAAGTTGCATGGCCCATTTCAGAGAAGACCTCAAGAAATAATAAACATCCTGTGAGCGGAAAAGAAACTGGGAGGCGATGAGCTTTCAGTCCATCTCCTGGCTGCCGACCCAAGTAGACTGAAAAACCGTCGAATGCTACAAAAACACGGGTCGTTTTGATGTGATAGTCAACAAGAGAGAAACCGCCACGATAAAAAACAGCGGGACGGGGGAGAAAAATGAATCCGAGGCGAGACTCCATCCGACCGTCGGATTGAGAAAAAAAACCCTGTGTCGCACAACGGATGGTCGGAGGTACAGCAGCATTCCGAGACGTCGCGACCGCCTGGAAGCGACAAGAAACACGGAAACCATGAATAGCACCCGTGACGTGCACCGCCACCTGTCAAGACGATTCGGATCCTGTTTCCCAGTCAACGATCCGCGCCGACAAGAGCAGAGGCGGAGAATTGGTGTGCGCCTAGATATAGATGGAGCCCATACTTCGCAGATTCTTCATTCATAATCAGAGCAGCTTGTTGGAATCAAGCATCCAGCGCGCATACACGTGATTTGGGCGGCGTGACAAATTGGGTTACACACTGATACAGTTTGACACGGCGATCACGCGAAGCAAATGACGAGAATATGATGTTGCAGGAATAGCTGGACGAACAGCGTGCCTCACACCCTTCTGAATATCAAGTGGGATCGCATCATAGTACAACATCATTACATTTGCATGGAACTTGAATCACACGGTTGGCTGAATGGGTTTATAGAACGAGACCACCGGCGGCTACGAAGACGATCAGCCCCGCAACGATATTCTGCGGCCACGCGCCTCGTGCCTACCTTCTCAAACAACCCGCGAGCCATGATCTCGGCCAACAACGTGTTCTGCATGTGCGCCTGCAACGCGTCGGCGTCCTTGAATCTAGACACGTGCATGAGCAACACCGAGGGCGCGAACCCGGGAAACGGCGCCGTACCGTTCCCACGTGATGAAGTTCTCCGTGCTCCCGTTGCGCGCGATCGAGTATTCGAGCGTCCCAGGCTCGTTCTGCTTCACGTGTGCGAGCAGCGGGCCAATCAGCGCCTCCATTTCGTCGCCCGCTCCCGGCTTGGTCGTGAACTGAGGAACAGAGCAATGGTTAGATGGACGGCAGACGCTTGTGTATAGAGCAGATCCATCAGATGCGCTACGCACCAAGGCAGTGGCCACGATTTCGCCTTTCAGTTCTGCTGGGGATGAAGCCATTGAGATCCGCGTTCTCTGATGTGTGGGGTAAAGGAGTGTGGTGTGATGTCCAGCTGTTCTCTTTACGGGTTATATAGGCATTTCGGACTCGGAGCCCGGTCCCACTCGTCTGTCATAGATGCATGGTCAAAGGGACGAATAAATTGATCGATTGACACGCCGTGCCAGTGTGAAGGTTCAATTTACGAAACGGTTTGCGGCCTGAAGCCGCTGGTCAAAATTGTCCGCGACTAAGTCCGACCTTGAGAAACAGGCACACGCGAGTCGAACGCCGTTCTCTGACTTGAATCTGCGGGTCGGAGGAGCCCAGCATGTTATCTAGCATCTCATTATTATCTGCAAATCCGTCACAATGGGAAGTACAGGGAACGTTGAACTTTCCTCGATATGCCGAATCTTAGAGACTGGTAGATTACCGCTTGAGGATATTCAAGTAGAACTCAAAGAAGGTCAGTCATATCGATATGGTGGACAGCTGGAGGCAGGAGGCCAGATCAGAAAGACAGCGGAACGAGAAAGATAAAGAAAAGAACGCAAGAGGAGACTCGTTACAAGATATGCTAGGGATCCCAGATGCTGCGAGAAGCGCACAAGTTGGATCGGAGATTTCTTTCATTTGCACATAGAATCCCAGAGATACGGAACTGAGATCCGATCAAGAGCTGTACCGAGGATGGCTGAGATACAAGTCGGAGCCTCGACGTGTCTTGCACCCCGTGTTTCATCCGACCGTGGGATTAATAGAAACACCCCTGTGTCGCACAACGGATGATCGGAGGTAGAGCAGTATGCCGGGACGCCGCCACCGCTCGAAGTGAGAGGACCCAAGGAAGATACAAATAGTAGCATCATGACGTGCACCGCCACCTGTCAAAACGATTCTGATCCTGCCGCCCACTCAACGATCCGCGCCGACAAAACCAGAGGCTGAAAAGTTGTGGGCGTACGGAAGTATTCAGAACCAACCCTTCGTATATCTCCATATCCAGAGCATTTTGCAGAGGGATACATGCAGCGAGACATGCACGTGAATTTGAGCGACGCGACAAATAGTGATTACACTCGCGGAGTAAATGACGAGAATGTGATGTTACGCGAATGGCTGGACGAACAGCCTTTATGGGACCCTTCTGGATATGAGCAGACTGAACTTGCAGTGCCAGACGATGTCGAGAGGCACATCCAGACAAATCGTGTGGTAGCATCATAGTACATACAATATCATTACATTGCATGGAACTGGAATCACAACGTCGGCTGAATGGGTTTATAGAACAAGACCGCCGGCGGCTACGAAGAAGATCAGCCCCGCAACAATCTTCTGCAACCACGCGCCTCGTGGATACCTTCTCCAGCAACCCGCCAGCCAGAAGCTCGGCCAAGAACGGGTTCTTCGAGTGCGCCTCCAACGCACCGGCGTCCTTGAATCTAGACACATGGACGATAATTGTTCAGCACGCAACACCGAGGCGCGAACCCGAAAAAAAAACAAAGGGCCGCACCGCTCCCACGTGACGAAACTCTCCGAGCTCCCGTTGCGCGCAATCGAGTACTCGAGCGTCCCGGGCTCGTTCTGCTTCACATGCGCGAGGAGCTTCCCGATGAGCGCCTCCATCTCGTCGCCCGCGCCCGGCTTGGATGAAAACTGATCGACAGAACAAAGATGAGGGTTAGATGGACGGTAAACACTTGCATGGAATAAATCGATCAGGGACGCTCAAGAGACGCTGCGTACCGAGGCGGTGATCACGATATCGCCCTTGAGTTCTGCTGGGGATGAAGCCATTGGCGTATTTTCTCTTTGCGGTATGTGGTGAAAAGGAATCGAGTGGGCGCGGTGATGTCCGGCGATGTTCTCTGCAGGTTATATACTAGGCATTTCGGACTCAGAGCCCGGTTCTGCTCGTTTGTCATTGATGCATGGTCAACTGGACGGATGGAAGAACGGATGGATAGATAGATAGGTAGATTGATTGACGAGCTATGGGATTCTGGGAGTGCGTCTCGCGAAACGATTTACGGAAATGGCTGTGGAAACTGCTAATCAAGACTACACCGGATCATGTGCGGCCTTGGACAACAGCCATGCGCAAATAGAATGACGTTGCTCTGTTCTTGGATCTTCGAGTTGGAAGGACTCGGCATTTCATCTGGCATCAATATTATCCAAAGATTGAGTAATGCAATGGGAACTCCAGATACTATACCTTTGAACTGTCCTGAACTGAATCTCAGGTGCAGAGCGCCTCCGAGAGTGCCAAAGCGCTGGATTTCTTGTTCCTGTTTCGGATCTCCGAGCGTGAGACGATCCACGGGTTCTGCGCACAAGATTGCGGTTCTAGGAGGGCGGCGCCAATGTGCAGGCATTGCGGGACAGTTCATACTGATAGATGCTCATTGATCTTCGAGCGCGTTAAGGAGCGAGGTCTGTCACTGATGTCGGTTTGCACTCGGTGAAAGATACTTCCTCCCGAAGGGCATCTGTGCCTAGTGCTGCTACCCATCATGTGCGGACCCGCTTGATTACAGAAGCACCGAACATTCGATTTCGGGCGCGACGTCATGAATTGAGGAGTGGATAGAATGCCAAATTGTTACTGCAGAAAAACATGAAGGATTTCGTGTCGTTGACAGATAGCGGCCCTGCGAGCGATACAAGGTTGAATTTTGATGCCAGTGACGGTTTGGAAACGCCGGAATCACCCGGCACCAGCATCTGCCGAGTTTGATCTGGGTTGTCGGCAGAGATCAGAGGCTCATCCCTTGGCCTTCATCCCCCTGGGGTACGGATGAAAGCTGACGTGCGGATAAACCGCGACTGAAAACGTTGCAATTTCTTTTTCCACATATGGTGCAATCGTGGTGGTCGTGAACAACGCAATTGCTGCTATGTGATATACTAGTGCGCTGATGCCGATCCTTTCTGCGAAAGATTTATTTCCTGATCTTATTGTTTCCCCTATCGAAAGTGGTGATCGGAAACTGCAGGAATTTTGCAGCTAATTCTGCATTTCCGCACAGAGCATTCTGAAGTGACGATCACATATGGTAAACTTGGTGCTGCTCGAAATACCTCAGGAACAAACGGCATCTCCAGGCACCGAGAATATCCCTCCCGTTTATATGGACGTAGCAGCAGAAGCAGGGACATTGAAGAAGAAGAGCTGGATAATGTTCCACAGCACTTTAAAAACTAAATTGTGTGTTCGAATTACAGGTACTACCATGCGTTACATATGACCTTGTATTACGCAGCTGGTTGAACGGGTTTGTAGAACAGGACCTCGGGGGCCTACAAAGTACATCAGTTCCGCAACAACGCACCGCAGTCGCGCCCCTCGTGTTCACCTTCTCAACCAACGTGCTCGACTTGAGCTCAGCGAAGAGCGGGTTCTCCGAGTGGGCCTTCAAAGCATCCATGTCCTTGAAACTACACACGTGACTGATCAGCATAAAGCGTCCGCGCGAACCCGAATCGGTCGTACCGTTCCCACGTGACGAAGCTCTCGGTGTTCCCGTTACGCGCAATCCCGTATTCGAGAGTTCCGGGCTCGTTCTTCTTCGCGTGCGTGAGCAGCTTCCCGACGAGCGCCTCCAACTCGTCGCCCGATCCCGGCTTGGCCGTGAACTGATCCACGGAGCAGAGGTTAGATTGCGTCGGGTGCGTGGATAGCGCGTCTCGATTCAGATGCGCTCAAGGGACACCACGTACCGAGGCAGTGAGCACGATTTCGCCTTTGAGTTCTGCGGGGGAGGAAGCCATTGGTGGTGTCTTGTTCTCTGGCGTGGGGTTGGTAAAGAGGTGGGTGAGCAAGGTAATGTCCAGCTGTGTTCACTGCGGTTTATATAGCCATTTTGGACTCCGAAACTCGGTCCCACTCATTTATCATCGATGCATAGGTCGAATTCCTTGACCGGCCGTACTAATCTCGAGGTCACCTCGGTGCATCTCGCGAAGCGATCATCGGAAATCTAAACACATTGCACCCAGTCCAAGCTACACAGATATCACTTCATTTTTTGCGGCAGGTGAAAGCGGGGTGGTTCAGAATTCTTTCAATGAAGAACGGAAAGCATTAGAGGCTCAACAATCACCCAAAATTGAACAAACGGCTAATAAAGATGAGTGGGATGGTGAACCTCATCCACTTCACTCAATCTTAGATAGGGAGCTCGTCTGGCACCGTGAATCAGAACGGTGGACATCCAGATCTTCTTTGGGCTCTCGAAGCTGGAGACGAGCCGCCGAATCAGAGCACTAGAAGCGTAGTAATTAGCGAGCGATTCCAATACGCCTGTAAGGAGAAAGTATTTCTCTTCTGGAATGCTGGATGTTCCTTGCACTCCGAAAGCGTGGAGGAGCGATCACGGTCACGGGTCCTGTTGGTTTGTATTCAATAGAGGATACTCGCGACCGAGGGCAGGGAAGAGATGGCAACCCTGTAATCAAACCTTCTCATGTAACACCTGCTCTATTTCGTAGCGTCGAGAATCCTATTCCATGCGCAGAGAAATTCGCGATTTGAATACACTCAGCACACATTTAAACGTGTTGCAGGATGTATTTAATCAAGCTAAATATGGAAAGCAGACAATGATTGCTTCATCGATCTACTACCTCCCTCGGAGTCTTTGCGAGCGGAAACCACGAGCCATAGCACTAAGATTTAGGATAAAAAGCCATGGCTCTTACCATGGAAATCCCATCCTAACGTATGGTAGTTACCATGCCCAGTGGCTATGTATACCCCCTGTGTCCATACAGGTGAACCAAGCGGCGGCACGTTCGACGATGTAGCTGATGATCATAGTGATTAATGATGAGTGATTAATGAATGGCAGCCATGGCACCGGATCGAACTTGAGACCCTTCCAAAAAGCTATAGAAATGTGGAGCAGTAACCACTGAGCCATAACACCATATAATATTCTAGCATATTTCCAACCACAACCCTGGTAGGACCGGCCAAAAAACATCTCCCCCACTTAGGACAAGGAGCAAGCCTCCTTGGCTCCTTTCCCTAAGTGGGGGAAACAACCCTAACCTCTAACCAACCCTGACTGCTAACCAACCCGAACCCTAGCCAGTAAAAAAACATGATTCTTGGGACCCAAAGCCCTATCCCAAACCCTAACCCTATCCCAAACCCGAACCTGTCTTAAGTCCGAGAAGGATATCACTTGTGGGCGGCTGATGGAGATCACACGATGGAATCAGTGATGTGCATCATGTGATACATGCAGATGTGAAGCAAACGCATGGCTCTTGCCATGGCATGGTAAGCACCATACATTAGGATGGGATTTCCATGGTAAGAGCCATAACATTTAGCTAAATCCTAGTGCTACGGGTGAAACCACTCATGCCTGGCGACTTGCGACTCGATAGAGATTTAGAAGGGTGATAATCATCCGTCCGTTGCAGACAGGACAGCCAAAACATGACGTTTGCTTCCAGGTCAACGGCATGGATGTGTCCAATGTGATCATGAACGCCTCAGAGACACCTCGCTGTGTTCGACAACAATCTGGCGAGCAGGCAAGCCCGCAGCACGCTCCTGCCCCTGCTCCAGACCCATCTGGGCCCTGACAGCCTGCAAGATCAGCGGGTCATAGGGACAGTGCACCATGAAGCGCAGTTGCTCCAGCTCTGCATACGGCTTGGTTCGCAGCAGGTCGTGCAGGTCCGTCCAGCTAAAGTTGACCAGGAGGAACACGATGTCCACTCTCAACACGATGATCAGAGTTTGGATTGGGCTGCGTGGGGCGCGAAGGAGTGCCCAGATTGCGCTCGGTGGCGCTCCCGGTGTTGTGTTTCGACGGAGACCGACATGGACCGTGAGTGACTTCAGTCCTGTGCAGCCGGATAGATCCAGGTGTTGTTCGACTTGTGCTGGGAAAACAGTGTGAGCAGAAATCTCATTTCGGGGCTGCTATCTCACCTGTGTTCACGTGAGGTGACAGCGCGATATCGAGCGTGCGTAGATGGCTGGATATGGCGCGAATCAGTGCTCCAGCGGACCCTACAGAGTCTCGCTGAACAGTTGCTATTCGGAGATCCCTGATCTCCGAGCTGTGAAACCACTCTGTAATGATCCGGAAAGGCGCAGGGACCGAGCCGACATGCTGGGATAGCGACAACGTATGCAGGCCTCGAGGACAGGCCAATTCCGTAATGGGTTGACGCGATGTCACTTCGTCATCCGCAAACACCAAGTCGGCAGCAAGCTTCTCCAGCAGAGGAAACGCAGCGATAAACCCCAACAACCCCCACACATGATCGAACAAGCCGCCCGTTATCTCAAGGCACGTGATATGTGCCAGACGCTCTAAGCGAGCGGCTGATGCCGGATGAAATCCAAAGGTGAAATCTTGCACCGAGAGTTGCGAGAGGGAGGGCAGCGCCGGAAGCCCCGCCACGACATTGTCCAGGAAGATCTCCAGCTCCGTGTCCGCGGCCACCGAGTCCACATCCATAACGACGCACAGCTTCTGGATCGATGCAGAGAAGGTCTCCCACGGAGACGACGCGAGCTGAACCAGCCCTCTCCCGCGCGCCGCAGAAGCCACGGTGACCGTCTCGAACAGCACGTTCCGGCTGGGGCGCAGAAACGAGGAGGCAGCGCAGGAGCATGCGAGGAGTGTCTTCCTGTCGGTCCGTGCGTGACCAACGATCTCAGCGACGAGTTCCGGAGGGAGGATGAGAGTCATGGATGGAATGGTTCAGCAGCTGCGTCAGTTTGACAGTTGGCATTTAATGTGACATTTGGGTGGCAGTGCATATCCATCGCAGTTCACAGCCGATCTATGATCATGACAGGCAGCGGCGCAGGCAGCTGAATTAGCATCCCAGAACATAGATTGACACATCTCCCTCTCCGAATTGAAAGGGCCGAAACTGATGAATAAAATATCGTATCGATCGTCACGTGCGTATTGTACGATTTTGTCCCCGCACATGGCGGCAGAGCCGTCTTCTGCGAATACTACTTAGTGGGAGTTTGAACTCTGCTGTGAGCTGGGAACACGAGTAAAATACCCAATCTATAACTCTTCACGGATTCTCCGGCAACCGGATGCGTTTCCCCAATTTTCTACAGAGATAAAACGCAACGCAAGCCCAGATGCCGGCAAATCTGCGGAACGACGCGTCAATGAGCGATTCTTGGGCATGTGGTCTTGTGAGCACTTACTGGAATATGTATACCACCGCGCTCTCCTTCTTCTGGCGGCCTGGGGTATTTGGATCCGGCGTGAAGACCGCGAAGATGGCGGCACAGAGAAGTGACACGAGGAATTGCGGGACGACGATGAACAGGTTATGGATTCCCTTGAGGAAGATTAATACTCAATCGAGGAAAGACTTTCGGCAAGATACTGACCAGGATGACACCAGCCTTGGCGCTCAATTCTGCATCGCCCGATTCGTCGTCCAGGATTGCTTCCCCTAGCTTGAAGCGGGCAAAGCCATCAGCTGACTGAGAACGAAAACAAGGAGATGGAGACGTACTAGAGCGAATGGCGCCCACATACTCACGGCATACGAGATACCTGATAGTGAGATGAGTAGGATGGCACCATCCATCGACGTGATGAAGCTATAACACAAATCAATCAGGACGCCCGTCCAGAACAGATGCTCCGTAGATCGTACAAAGTTCCCAACATGCAAACAGCAAAGAAAGCATGGCTCCATTGCCACAACCTCGCCAGCGGAAATTTCCATCGGGGGGTCTTCGCCTGGGACAGCGCGTCGGTGGCGCCGGTGCTTCGGATGAAAAACGGCAGAATAAGGTTGGCGATCAGCGTGAGAGCGGCGGATTGGAACAACGCGCGCGCGCCCAGCCGCGTTCCCTCATCCGCAATCTCCTCCGGCGTGCGTCCCGTTTCGGACGGTGAATACAGCGATGCGATGTACATTGTCGTGTAGAAATGGAGAGGAAACCAGCCGAGCCAGGCACTGCAAAGACACGATTAGTGTGTGAGAAGCTGTGAGGACGTAAGCGGGGATCGTCGAACCAGAATTGGATCAGGCACTGTGCTCAGATTAGACAGCGAAAGAGAACAGTTCACTTCGCGCCCACTCACGATGCGCAGAATCACCGGCGGAAGTGTGATCAAGTTGGAGAAGATCGCTTTCAGCTCGGCGATGAACGACCGTCGGTGTCTGATGATGTGTTTAGCTTCGCATTCGTCCGCTTAACAGACTACGCTCTCACCCATCTGGTCTCGCAAAAGCTTCTTCTCGCACCATCAACGCAGTGGTGGCATGGCCGAGAACAGTAAGTAGAACGACGAATACGGAGAGGATCTGGAGCTCAGAACTCCCGAAGAACGGAAATAGGGAGGGCAGGTTCAGATTCCCGCTGTATTGGAGATCAACCGGCTATTAGGAACGCAGCGGACGACAGCAGTAGCGAAGCACGCACACGAAAAAGCCAATCACACTCCCGATACACATCATCCGCGCCGCCCACCCCGTCGCCGAGGCCTGCATCTCCGAAGGAAGAACGTCGACGATAAGCGCGCGGTCCATGGATTGCACGACATTGATCGAAAAGTCCGCCACCCAGATAGCAATGACAGCCAGCGCGATGACCGTCTCGTCGCTCTTCCAGCGCAAATTCATCGTCAGTACCGACCGAGGCCGCGGGGACGACGTAAGCCACTCACCGATCGCGCTCCGAAGAGCACATCGCTGACCGAGCGCGTGAACCCCAGCACAAGCATCGCCGCTCCACTGACGAGGCTCCCGGCGATCATGTACGGCCGGCGCCGACCCCACGCGGACGTCGAGTTGTCGGCGACAACCCCGATGATAGGTTGCACGATGAAACCGGAGAGCGGCCCGGCGAGGAACACGATGGCAACGAGCGAAGGGGAGAGGCCCAGCGAGAGCAGGTACGGCGGACCTCGGGGAACGTAAAATCGCAGCTTCCTCACGAGGCGGTCGAGCTCACCGTAAGACATCTCCACCGACCACAGTATCGACACGCCGAGAAGTCCTATCGTGAGCAACGGCACATGCAGCCAACGTGGGCCCCGGATGGGTAACGAGGGAGCGTGGAGAGGGTTTGAGTCGGGGAGCGCGGGTATGAGGATGGAGCCACCGAGCACTTCAGTCGACATGGTGGGCGTCGACCAAGTCCTCAAATGACTAAGCCTGTAGTTGCAGCGTGAGCCATTCAAATCGAGAGGAGCTTCATATCACGGCAAAAAAAATGTCAATCGCCGCGGCAGAAAGGTGGCAGTGTTGTAGTTTGTCAAAAGCTTTGACTGATGATGTGATTACAGACAGGCCCTCGGACACTTGGGGTGAACATCCTCCCAAATAGAGTAAATCTGAGCGAATTTTTTGACTTTTCCCCTCCGCATAATAGAGTAAAAATGAGCATTTGGGGTCCATAACCCTCTCTAAATAGGGTAAAAGTCGCGCGTAGCGCGACCGATTTTGAACATTTACCCCCCAGCTGCGGTCAAAAGTTGCTCAAATCTGGAGATTACGGGCAATGCCAAGGAGCTTTCACAGACTCCTCGAGGGCAGGGGAAAGCACGTAAATAGACCCAGATCATAGCTGTAGTCGGTAGTAGCGCAGACGGGAAAATGGATTTACCGTCCGAAAATAGAGTAAAAGTTGGCCAAAACCCAGAAAAAATTAGAGTAAAAGTATCCGAGCCGGTGGAGGATGTTCATATGAAGTGTCCGAGGGCCTTTACAGACGCACAATCCGGCATATTCCCGACCAATTCAACAATTCACTGAGGAGGGCAGTCTGATTTCAGAGGAGCCTCTGATTTGATGCATCTTCTGAAAAAATTGAAACACAGCAAAGCTACATAGAGAGGACTTCAATTAGGCCCCCACTGCACTCAGGGTATGCTCCCATAATTTTTGGACGACGGCGGGATCTCCCACCGAGTACCCAATGTCTTGTCCTTTCGATCCCCGTCGAGTAAAGCCGGGTGTTGAGGAGAACAACCCAGATAGCTGGTATTCCGCACAAGTCTGCACCCCGGACGTCAACTTCTAGAAGGACATATGCGATGAAGGAGAGTCCAAACCTCGGCGGAAACCGTGAAAGGCTGAGCAGCCAATTTGATCAGGGGAGAAAATGGCTTGAGAAGCGGGTGTTTGGGCATCATCATGGGCGTTCGAACCAGTCCAGGGAACGCATGGTTGAATGAAATGTCGGGGTTGTCCGCAGCGAGCTTCTGCTGACCCTGTAAGTGCTTTTCAGGGTGAAAGATTGTGCATAGTGACCTCCATGGCAAGATCCGTATAACTCGCAGACACCGTTGCAGCCTTGATCGCCGAATAATGCTTCTTCAGACCCAAATCATCCACATCGACCTCGCTCCCCGTCCCAGCACCCAGAACCGAATACACACTCGCCTCCTCTCCATCATTCGCGGCATTCTGCAACAGCGGGAGCAGATCATAGATGAACTTCCACCTTGCGTAGTACAGCAGCGCCAACTTCCTGTCGATGCCCTCCGCCGTCTCATCCCTCCCCGCCACGATGCTGAAGAACCCCGGAGAGAGCACGAGATAGTTGATCTTCTCCGTCGTGTTCTGCGCAGCAGGCGGCCGGCGAGCCAACAGTACACCCGTCACGCGCCGCACGTCGCGCATGAGCGTCGCATCGCACTCGATGAACTCGTGGCTCGTGTATCGCCCCTCTGGCTCGCGCGGGAAGGACGACGTGGTGCGCTCGGCGGCCGCGCGGTTCCGTCCGAGAATGATGATGTGCGCAGAGCCGCCGCCGAGGCTGTTCGCGGTGTAGTCGGCGAGGCGACGCGCCATGGCTTGCCCGATCCCCGACGTGCCGCCGAGGAAGAGGGCGACGGGGCGTTTCGCACGGGGTGCCCAGCTGCTATTCGACTTCAAGACTTGAGCGAGTGCCATTTCACGATGAGAGCAACGACGAATGAATCCAGTGTCGAGTGAAGAAAGCGGCCGTCACAGGCCAACATGATAATGACATCATGGTCCGACGGGATTGACTGTTTGACAGCTACCCACGTCGTTGATTGATAAGATGATGTGGCTGATACTGTACGGATCGGATGATCATCCGCGTGACTATCGCGATACGTCATTTTCACGTGAATCGCCAGGTCACGCTCATTTCAAAATCTTGGAGTAATTCTCGTTAAATGGGCCGGCCATATCAAGGAGGTCATCTGGGATCTCGGAACTCGTGTACTCGAGATTACCGGGCCTACATCCCGGGTGTGTATCACCGCCGAGATTTTAACTGGCAGGTATTCCTCGGGCGATCCACCACTGGAATCGTCGATTCTTATTCGTGGCGCGTGGACCGGTACCGAGGTGCTCTCCTGCAATAATAGTTAGGTACCTAAATACGTGTGTGCAGGTCATGCTGGGGCTCTCCTTCACCAGAAGCATCGAGGCATCAGCCACGACTTGGAATACGCATATGGACACAACTTCGCACAATCCAGCGTGACCCAGACAATCGTTTATCCCCGCCCACGACTACAAAATGCGGGACCGGAGAGGTGATACGCGACGCACCCGACTTGAAGGAAGATTATCGGCGCGAAATTCGTCGCCAAACAGAAACTTCTTGCGATCTCATCCGAAATTAACTTTGGGATTGTCTGTCGTCAGAATCACGCAACCGATGAATATTCCGTCGAGATCTTCCATGGAAATCCGGGCCATGACGTGAAATAAAGAGGTCTCATTGAAGCAGAAAGTCACGTGACAGGTGTTCGATGCGCAGATTGAACGACCCTGCTCGGGAAATTGTCGATATTGGGATGATGACCTGCCTTCTTTGGTAATTTGGATGGTGTCGTGGCGCTTATTTGATCTGATTCCTCCGACAATATTTCCGCGTGCGACACTGAATATAACACGGGACAATCGATACATTCAACAATGTTCGCAAAAAAATCCAAAGCCGACAATAATACTCTAGGGGGATAATATACATACAATAATGTGTCGAGTGTCCGGAGAGTTGTAGTAGTGATGACGTGCAACAAATAACGTACAATGACAAAATGCCTGGATGGGAGTTGCTCATGTATGTTTCAAAATGCGCTTCAGAACGAAGATACGCTCGCCCCCGGGGATTCGGGTGAGCTCTGTGACACCGTGCACGGTCTCGAGACCCTGCAAAGAGCTGCCGCGTGCCAGGACCACAAAGACCTCTAGAGCATCGCCAATCTGTCTGGCTGTCAGGACGAGAAGATCGGCAAAACATGCACAGAATGGACCTACATCAGCATGACGAGCGTCAGCTGCCGTAAACGCCTCGACCACGAGGGACAGCACCCGCGGGAGAGCCAGATCCGTCTGCGACAGAGCAGCCGGTGTTGCAGCTTGGCTCTTGTAGAAGATCTGAGAGCAGTCAGAATGGCGAAGCACACGACAATCGGGAGGAGGAATGTCGGCTGAGACTCGGGGTGGTCGCAACAGCAGAGCAGTGCCGGATGAGAGCAGGAGGCAGCGCGACTCACCTGATGATCTATATAAGGCTGGACCAGGAGGGACGCGGCACCTGCAGCGAGACACGCTGTCCGCTTGAACGAGCCTTGTGGGTCGAAAGAGTAAACGGCACCCGTGCCTTTCAACATTCCAGTCAGTCAGCTGGGATCACAAAGAAAGAAAGACATGAGATGACACTCACCATCCTCTTCGATGCCGCCCAGAATATTGTACACGTAGAACGGGATAAACCGGCGTTGAAACAACATCCCTTGAATCAGCTGCGCGACGGCGCTTAGCGTCATGTCCCGGGCGTGCGCGTGTCGGTACCACTAAAAGGAAGGTGATCAGAATGGGGCTGATGGGGATCATGCAGAGGCTTGCCTCGAGTCGCTGCATGACCTTCTTGACGAATGTGTTTCCGTCCGCAGAGAAACCGGTGGTGGCGAGGACGGCTCTGTCCGTGCTAGCGAGATCGGTATCAGGATCCAATCTTATCGGAGGAGGCTTGGCTGGACTTGCAGACGAAAAACTTTGGGCGAATGCCGACCAAGGCCATCCCCCCGCTTCACATCGCCGACAATGACACTGAAGTTGGAGCCTGCGACAGCGAGAATTGTCCCGCCATTGTCATTGAAGGGGTTGAACTCTGCCGGCGGGGATTCAAGTGGGCTGGGGCTCGAAGCGGGGACAACAAAAGGCATAGACCGAAAAACAGGCAGGGCAGACGCGAGCGCAGTGGGTGCAGGACCAGGCGAGGATGAAGGGAAAGAACAACGACGGTGGGACGGCCTTTATCCATGGCGATTGCTCCAGAAAAAGCCGGGGTGACAGCGTGACTGATGACGCGCAATCAGTGTCACAAATGAATCAACAATTCCTCCGAGCTTTCACCTAGCCGCCCTCTTCTTGCTGAACACGGACCCCGAATCATCGGATCTGAGGAAGATGCCTCCCACAGGAGGGGCCGAGCGTTCCCTCGTCCATGCTGGACCTCACCCGCAAAAATAGGGCCCGAATTGGAGGATGGCAATCGCGTAACGCGAGACGCATGCGACCGACAAGTCTCCGAATCGCTGCGCTTCATCTTTCTCGCACTGCTGGAAAAGGGTTGACGACGAATGTCTGTGCGTTGGGAACCAGCATCACACACGACGTCCGATGCGGACGCGACCGTCATGCCCATCTGAACTCGTGGACAGAAACGCCTTCCACTCATATTGATCGGCCCTCGGGATTCAACTGTTGGGAGGCTGCCAACAGACATCGATCTATCTCCATATTCGTCATGCAGGCGATCCAGCCTGACCCGGTATCCCCACAATAGCTGCTCGCGACGGTTTCAGCAGGGGGCCAGCGCACTGATGGTCTCTGTGAAAGATAAGACGGACCCGGACTCATCTGGCATGTGGCAGATAAGTGCTTACAGATACTGGAGCATCGCATGCCACGACAGACAGCCCGGCTATAGGCGCACAGTTTGCGAGCCACCCCGTTTATCCGGGTTCCTGATCTTTCGACACCGCCGGAGCGACCTTGCTGCGAAGAGCTGTGGGTGAGACTCTCCATTGCTGCTGCCTTTCCGCCTATGACGTGGACTTCAAAATCTCCCCGGCCGCCGCATCGCGCTGCACATCTTCCCCCGTCGTTCATACACAGCATACACTCTCCAACAACGCGCCCCAGCCCCAGGTGCTTTGTGTGTCTGAGATGTTTTCGCGCAAGCGCATGCTGAAGCTTCTTACGTTTGCGCCGATAGAACGACGCCGGCCGTCGCACGAGCCGACAGCACGAATCCAGCAATCCTCACTCTCAGAAGCTTCTTCGTTGAGCGAGCACGCTAGTCAACTGAAAAAGTTCTATTTCCATTGGGTGTCCCAATAAGCCCTCCCAGTTCTCTGATGACATCTGGCGAGACCGCGACAACGCGTGGGTGTTTACCCACGCGTTGTGACGGCCGAAGCCGCTCCATAGCCACTGAGGTATGACGGCGATCTCAGGTTCTACGATAATAATAGGCCCCACGGCTTTCTGACAAAGCAGATATCACCCTCCTGGATTAGTGCTATGTCGTTCACTCATCCTCTGCTGAGTTCAGGTCCGTTCGGGCCCCTCTGGATTTCGGCCCGTTACACTTTGAACCCGATTTCCAAGAGTGTATCATCATATCCAGCTCTCCAGTCGGCCAATCTCAACTGCAAAGATGATCATGAGGCTTCTCTCTCTTTCTCTCCCACTATGGCAGCATCATTTGTACGATTCGAGACCGCCGAAGCGACCCCAAAATACACGATGGCTTCTCAATACCGGTATGATTGCGAACCGTCCGCGGGTTCTCAGCACCCCGGCTGCTGAGACTAAAATATCCCGGAGAAGGAGTAAACAGTGACCGGAGAGAGATGTGCAAGGAGATCGGTCGTCGTGTTTGACATTTGGGGAGTTCTCCTTTGTGCGAACGGGATCTCAGAATAGCATGTAACATGACCGCTTCAAGGGTGCTATCATAAGCGATCCAGACCCGCTCTGTCGTAGCCTGGAAGGCAGTCGCCGTAGAACGCCGAAGCTACTGCGGCGACTGAGTGGTCAAATACATTGATTAGAAACGTCAAAAGGTACAAGGTATACACACGATACACGACATAATAAGGCCATCAGTTGCAGTAGTAGACAGGATGAGAGATAACAGTGATCATACAGGGGTGGGGGGATTAGATCATCATACCGGATCATAACGGGTGAAGCAGAGAGAGCAAGTGTTCAGCTGCTTTTTCAGGCGAGACTCAGCCTGAGCGATGAGGTCAGAGGCAAGTGAGGAGCAGAGAAGGTCGCCGACGGACCGTCTGTCCTTGATTACACCGCTCCGGTTCCGCTGAGACTTCGAGTCCTCCCAGAGCCAGATAGGCTATCTCGCCAAGCAACAGGCGGTGTGCTGCCAGCTCTTCTACTGGTGCTGGTGCTGGTGCTGGCCCCGAAGTCTCCGGGCGAGAGGAAAGTCGCACACGTCACCACCTCGGCCTCCGCCGGCTCAGGCTCGGGCTCTGGCTCCCGTTCTTCAGTCAGGGTCCTTCCCCGTCCTTTGCCAGGGAACCCGATGCCCAAACCAGCCATCGCAGGGAGTACCAAGCTGGGGCTGGCGAGATCCACTGGAGTGCGAGGAGGACCGGGGCTGCGGCTGCGGCTCCGGCTGCGGCTTCCAGACTGGGTCGTGCGGCTGCGTGTCATGCTCCTGCTGCGACTGTAAGAGTCGTACGGGGCCCGCGAGGCAGACCGCTCAGCTCTCCGGGCAGCGGCACCACTTTGCGCCCGGCCCCTGTCGAGCTCGTGCGTGGGCAGCGGCGCCGGGAATGGTGCCCGAGCGTGGTGCCTGGGCATGTGGCTATGATCGCCATCGTGAGATGCGCTCGCTGAATCTTCGCCTCCAACAGCCCAAGCGGCTTCGTCGATCCGCTCTATCCCCCATCGATCTGTCACCCGCATCGACAGGCAGCCTCGAAGCACGCTCAGTGTGCGCTTGCTTGCGTGTGGTGGGGGCGTGTAATTGCCTGCAAGTGAAGTCAGTGAGCGTCGGAAAGAAGTTTCTGGCTGGAGCTTTACTCCGAGCCAAGATGTGGGGAAACCTTAAAGCTTAACGCAAACTCACCATCCAGGATCTTGAGAACAAGCCTGGGCTCGAACGAATCCACGAATGGGAGTCTGCCCACAAGGAGAGCAAACAACATGACGCCGAGGGCCCAGATATCCTGGGCTGGAGCGGGTGGAGTCACTGTCGAAGCCCCTGGAGATGCAGTTGAGCCCGACTTGCCTACGGGTAACATTAATGAATCTGAATGAGCATGGAGCAGCACATACGCACCCTGCACGAACGCAGATGCAGACTTGTTGGCATTTGCCATCGCCTCGGCTTTCGTCTTGCCCGACATGGATACCGAAGTCGTTAGTGGTGGAGAGCGGAGCAATTCGGGAGCGGCGTAAGGGAGCGAGCCCGGCTGGAAGTCGGTCGGTGGAGTCGATGGTGCTGTTGGCCGGGAGAAACGGTGCGAAGCGTGTCGAGGAACTGCCAAGGAAACTGCTCGCTGAACTCCGGCGCCTTTGGGGACGGGCAGCCCCTCCGGCCAGTCGTCATCCTCAACAGCACTGTCGTCCAGCTGCACCGCCATGCCAAAGTCTGCGATCCGACAAACTCCAGCCTCGTCAATTAAGACATTCTCTAGCTTGACATCCCGGTGCACGATGCCTGCCTCATTGTGCAGGTAGCGTAGGCCACGGACGACCTGCCTGAACATGCGCCCCGTCTCTTCCACCGGCGGAACCCCGGCACGAAGCACGTCGAACAGCGAGCCACCGGGGCACAGCTGCGTGACGAAGCAGTCCGCCGTCGGGGTATGCACGCAAGCGAAGAGCGGGAGTATATGCTCGTGTGACAGCATCGTCCAGATCGTCTCCTCGTGCGCGATGCGCTTCCGTGTCGACGACTCCTTCTGCACCTCCTTTGGTACGATCTTCACCGCGACGGTCGAGCCGTTCGAGAGGGACGTCGCGCGCCGAATGGTCGAAAAGCCGCCATGTGCGATGATCGGGCCGAGGGTAAACTGTCCGACCACAGACCCTTCGCCCTCCGGCTCGACGTCGCTCTGCTCCTGGGAACCCCTGCCGGACGAGGACGAGGAGGGCGAGAACGCAGAGAGGAAAAGCGCTGCGGGAGACGAGGCTGCGTCGACCGGCTCGTCCGGAGTGCCTCTTCGATCAGGACTAGGTGAGTCGGTCACCAGCGGCGGCGCCCGCCCGAAGTTGTCAGACGAAAAGAATCTGCGGAATGCGTTGTCTCTCGGGGTGTGGGGCATTCAAGGGCGGGGCGATGATGGAGGTAGAGTCAAAGTCTCGGATGCGGGCACCCGTCCCGAAAGAGTTAGTGGCTGCCAAGACCATTCGCCATTGCCAAGCAACACCATACAACGCTCTTTGACCGCACTGCTGCGGCAATTTCGTGGCTTGTGGTTCTAGCTTTTGTGGGGTCAGCAGAGGCAGCGGGTGACTCATGTCTATACTTGTGGAGCTTTGACGCTGTGATTTCATATTACATAGAGCTGATGTCGGTAGTGACATCGCGTGGTGTGAGATAAGTCAGAATCAACCCGAATTCGCTAGTTACAACAATATCGTAGCAAGAGAATCCTCTCAAAACTGGCATTTTCTTCGCGCCCGTACGCATCGTTCCTAGATTCAGCCTGGATATGGGCCGGGAACACACCGATTTAAGTTTGGTGTGGGATACATGCTGTGATCGAGCTGAGGAAGAGCCGTACTGATACCTGCATCCTCTAAAATTGTCCAACTGCGTGGTCAATGCCTCCGATACCTGTCTGACACGATTCAAGTCAAGGCCCGCCACTCCTGTCCGAAAGCCATATCTGGGCCCCCGATGATTCATTTTTCATCGATGGGTGCATGCTTCAAACTCTGTAATTCCGCCGTCTGAAGCGTCCATTTGACGATTGATGGATCCAGGATCACCTCCAAAATGGCTGAACCAGGCAATGCCGTACCAGATTCCGCCCGACGAAGGCGTGAATCTCGTCGACCAAAACGGATTCTACATGAACTCAACGCATGTACTCCCGCTGATCGTGGCCGTCGACAGCACCGGGCCGCGCCATTTGACTGGGCCGCGGAGCAGGTCGACTTCGTGACCGACCGCAACGGCCTTCGCAAGCTCACCCGCTGGCTGATGAGCGCGGAACTCACCCCGGACCAGGCCGGGCCGCGTGCCGTCCACGACTGGAGGATCGACATGCAAATGGCGGGCGACGGGACGGTCTTGTTCAACAGGTGGGAGACGCGCATGCGGGAGTAACAAAGCGGGCGTTCGCGCGGGTTCAATTTCGAGCGGGAGAACACTGAAAAAATTGCACAGGACTTGAAAGGCTGCGAATGGTCGTCCGTTTCGAGATCGACGCCTGCCTCAGCACCAGCCAAACAGACGCCCTGTCGCAGAGCGACGAGCTCACGTCGAAAATGACCGGCCTCAGCGTCGCACCGCCAACAAGCATGAGTGTGCACGGCATCCGCGTCCTGAAAGGCGACCTCCCCGCGGTCCCGCACGTGTCGCTGATCGAGCTCAGCACCCGCATCGCCAGCCGCGTCGGCGCATTCGGCGTCGAGACGTACCTCCAGCTCTTATTCTCGCAGAAACCGCGCCACTTCTCGGCGTGCATGACTACGGCAAGTTCGAGAGCGTGCAGAAGAAGCGGATCGTCGCTAGTGAGTTTGGGATATCGCAGCCCTTGTTGCAGCTGCGTCGTACGTTGAGGCTGATAAAGGACATCGTCGTTGCACGTGGGAATGACGCGAGGCTGACGTTGGTTTTCCGGGACGGGAACCTGGCCGTGTATGAGCGGGAGGATAAGAGTAGCTGTTTGCCGGATGACGTCATGTTTCGTTTTGAGAAACGAATAACTGATGATCGCCGATCAGTAGTCTTTGCCGACTTGACTCGCCTGCGCTTGACGCATTGGTTTTTCTTCCGTTCCATGTCGCAAACGCAAGGCATCGAGCTCAGCTCCCGTGCGACATCCGCAGTAGCACACTCGGAATCCTCCCAGGTCGCTCTGAATGAGCAGGTTGCGGCGGACGCTCCGGTTCCGGACGGGGGTTACGGATGGGTCGTGGTAGCAAGCTGTGCGGTCATCAGTACGTCGTTTCACCTCAGATCAGACCGCCCAGGGACGAGTTCTTCCAGCATGGTGGTTTATTGGTACCTCCTACAGCTGGGGTGTGATGCAGGTGGACTTCTTCGCCCCGGGGGCTCCAGACTATCGAGCTGACTGACATGCATGGATCAGGCCGCACTCGTTCAGCAGGGTCTCGGGTCCTCTTCCACCATTTCATTCGTCGGGTCCACTGCCGTGGCTTGTATATCCGGTCTAGCCATCATCAACGCGCGTGTCATTCGCTTGCTCGGCACACAGCGCACGGCCCTCCTGGGAATCACAATCATCGGCCTCGGCCAGATTCTCAGCGGGTTCGCCACCAAAAATATCGGCGCTTTGTTCGTTACTACGGGGGTGATTAATGGAATCGGAATCAGGTGAGGCTGCAAAACTCTCGTCCGGGGTGGCAGTTCTGAGAAATAATTGCCCCAGTCTTTGCTTTATGGTGGGTATCTTCCAATCATTTCCCCCAGTATTTTTACTGTGACCCTCGGTCAACAGGTCGTCTCTATCACTCCCGGGCAATACTTCCAGAAAAAGCGGGGTCTCGCCAACGGGATCGTCTACGCAGGCGGAGGACTCGGCGGCGCAGTCACCTCCTTCCTCATCGACGCGCTGCTGAGCTCCCTCGGCCCCGCCTGGACCTTCCGCATCCTCGGCATCCTGACGCTCACGACAGGCCTGCCCGCGGCGTGGTTTGTGAAAGAGCGCACGCGGATCCGCACCAACACGTTCATCGACTGGGCGCTCTTCCGCGACCCACGCTTCATCACGCTCTTCCTCGCCGGCGCGGTCGGCACCTTCCCGCTCTTCGTCCCGCCGTTCTTCCTCCCGCTCTACGCGAACTCCCTCCGCCTCCCCGCGCGCACGGGCGCCGCGCTCCTCGCCGGATTCAACTCCGCGTCCGCGGCCGGCCGCCTCGGCGCGGGCTTCGCGGCGGACAGGATCGGCCCGGTGAACGTGCTGTTTGCGGCGCTGCTCCTCAGCGCGGTGAGCATGCTCGCGATCTGGCCCGTCTCGACGGCGCTCGCGCCGCTCGCCGTGTTTGTGGTGATCAACGGCGCGGCGAACGGCGGGTTCTTCTCGACGATGCCGACGGTCGTTGGGACGGTTTTTGGCGTCGGCCGGGTGAGTGTGGCGATGGGCATGATCGCGACTGGTTGGGTCGGCGGGTATCTCATGGTCCGTTTCTTTCTTTCTTTGTGAATCATACCGAGTTCATCACAGGGAGCACCGATTGCGGGGTACATCCTCAACGCATACGGCGGTGCTGACAGCACGTTATCCGCGTACCACCCGGCGATGTTCTATGCGGGATCCATGGCTGCAGCAGCCGCGGGTCTCGTCCTGTTGGTCAGATTCAAAATCAGCACCGACGTGCTCAGTAGAGTTTAGAAAGAAGATTTCCCATCGAGTTCATCCCCAGTTCAGCTGGGTGCAGCCCAACTCAGCTGAGTGATATCAGAACGGTCGACCCAGGCCGGCAGTCAGTGTTGAAACATCCGACGCTAAACATGATGAGGCGGAGGCTGGCGGAGGGGACCTTTGATTCCAGCTGTCCTGCAATGGGCGAACTACACCAAATCAAGACATAACTCGCAATGAATTCAAAATTGCATAGAAAAATGCGCTGGTCTCACTTTTCTGGAGTTGAGCCGAGTACCTTCACCGTACGACGATTCAAAGTCGGGGGGCCGAAATATGTCGCTCTTCGAAAGATGCAATCAACAGTTGAAATTAGCTGCCCCATCGGGTATCTGCTTGATAGAAGACCGCCTCGCAGATCTCGCGAAAATGATTGAAACTGTTTTCCAGACAGCCAACGATGTCTAGCCGAGCTCTCCTCATCCTGCCCTTCGTTCTTTTTTTCTTCCCCTCCACTGTAGCGCGGAACATCACCATCGACGACACCGACACGCGCTACTTCACCTGGACCGAGCCCGACGTCTTCCCGCGCCCGCTCCCCGCCTGGGCCGCCGTGAGCCCGTCCTCGCCGTGCAACTACTGCTCCGAGCAGCCCCCGACCGGCGGTGGGGCCGTCTACAACGCGACGTGGCACGACGGGCACAACGGCAGCCAGGGCAGCCTTACGTTCCAGGGCGCGGCGGTGTCCATCTACGGCATCGCGGGGTACAACTCGGCCAATGTCTCGTTCGTGCTCGATGGCCAGCCGGCGGGGTGGTACGCGCATCTGAGCCCCGTGGAGTTCACCTTCCACGCGCTGTTCTTCCATGCCGCGGGGCTCAGCGACAGTGCCAACCACACCGTTGCGTGGGACCTGGCGCTATCGCGCACGAACGGGACGTCGGCGCTGTTTGACTACGCGGTCGTCGAGGTGCCGGACGGCGCGGGGGTTTCATCCAGCGCGAGTTCGGGCGCGGCCACGTGAGTCCCAAGGGCATATCTATTGCCGAGCGCGCCTGAAACAGAATTCAGACAGACAAGCAGCGCCGACGCCGGACTATCGCCGTGAGTGCAGATCCCATTCTGACTTGCCAACTCTTCTGAAAGCTTTGCAGATCGAAGCACTCCTCCGCAGGCGCCATAGCCGGCGGAGTTGTCGGCGGGGTCGCAGCCCTCGCGCTACTGCTGATCGCGCTTCTCATGGCCAAACGAAGGAGAGTGAAGGATGCGGCAGGTGTCGAAAGCCAGGAATCAGCACTCTCCATGCGCACAGCCCGTCCGTTCTCGCTCACGCCGCAGGCCCTGAGCTCTACCGCACCTGCAACCGAGCACGCAAACTCTGACGGCACGGGCAAGACGTGTGAGTCGCACAGCTATCTGGGCTTCCCTTCCTCTGAGAAACAACACAAACAGTGGATGTCGGCTGGACGCAGCCGACTGCAGCGAGTCTGGCACCCGACTCTGCGCTTGCCGCGCCTGTGCATCCGTCGACGACCAGTCCCACCGCCGGCAGTGAGGCTGGAAGCAGAGATCCACATTCCCACAGCGCTTACCGCGACTCCGAGGCACCACCCCCATATTGAGGATCTGTCCAGTTGTTGTTATGGAGAGTACAGAGACATGACAGTATAGCTACAGAGTATGTGTGCAATATATGTACAATATAAACAAGTCCAGTGCATTTCGTCCGATCAGAAACCAGAATCCGGGCCCACGGCCCAGACCAACAGATAATGGACGAGAAAGACGCCGAGCAGCAGCCGCCAAGCGACCCGCACGAAGAGAACCGCCGGCACCAGGATGAGCGTGAAGTACAGCGCCAGGAGAATCAGGGCGATGTGATACCACCGAGCGGGTGGAATCGGGGAGGGGGGCACTGACTCGGGAGGAACAGTCACCACTTCGACCCCCGTAGGTTTCACCAGTTCAGGGAACTGCCACCGAAACGACGCAGGATTCTCCACCGGGACGGGTTTCGGCACAATCGGGACCGGGGCCGACGACTCCAGGCCAGTCTCATCTGGCACGCCGCGATGTCGATGTGCGATGGCAGCCACATCCTCGTCCGTAATCGCGCCCAGATGCACCGCCCGTTTGTACGCGGTCGTCAGCATCGAGTCGCCGGGTTCCGCAGAGCTGAATGGCAAGCACTCTACGGATGCGGATGCGGATCGGCATCGCAGCGGCGGTGGGGGAGTGAAGGGGGGCGAAGAGTCGGCGGGCAGCGTTTGAGATCGTCTGCGCGTCTTGACGGGAGACTTCCTCTGGAATACGGACAGGACGCGTTTGCGCGGGGAGGCGACTGCTGGCGGCGTCGGCACTGAAGAAGAGGCTGGAGTAGACGACGACGATGACGCCCTGGAGCGCAGCCAGGGCCGGCGCTTCCTTGTTGGTGTCGAGGGCAGGATGTCCTGGGGAGAGTAGTCAATAACAAGCCAGTGTCCAAGCGGAAACGGACACACCGGTTCGCTATCCGCTAGTTCCGGCTCCCCAATCTCCTGCACAGGCAAGAGCCCAGACTCCACCAGCCACGCTTCCACATTCTTCTGCGCGCCATTGGGACCGCACTCGAGCTACGTAAAACCCAATCAGCCACGGTGTGCCCGCGAGTACACGGTCCGACGCACCCGCTCATAGCCCGGCATACCCTGCCGCGCCTGATTCGCGTGGTTCTCCGCCCACACGCCGCGGGATGCAGCGTATCCATCCGCGATCATCTGGTACATGAGCGCGAGCGCGGCCGCATCGATCAGCCCGTCCTCCGAATCGGTTACGTGCCGCTGGGGGGTGCCAAATCGAATCAGTGGACGTGACGGGGGAGGTCGCGGACAGCTCACCGGTGCGCGGTATCCAGGGCGCTCGACCATCATCTTCAGCTCGTAGTCCCAGGGCATCGCAAGCTAGGGGAGGCGGCAAAGGACGCGGTCCGGGTTTTCGGAAAAGAAGCGCAGCGACAGTGCGTGTGTTCTGTGACGTGTATTGTGGGCGCAAACTCAACGGCCCAATAGCAAAATCAGCAGGGGATGGTGCGCTCGTGGGGGGAGTGCATGTGCCACCCCTCCCTCCCTCTTATTAATACCCACCCACCCATCGACGCAGCCCCAGAAGCCATGGCTTTGCGCGCGCAAAACGCAATCTAAACGACATAGCAAGGCGCGGATCTCTTTGTCTCATTGTGCCTGCTTTATCCTCGGTCTGATGCGCTCGGTGCCTCGTGGCCAAGTCTGAGAGACGAGTCACAGCGCGGCACGTGCGAGGGGCCGTCCGCGTGCCCTCGACCGCAGTACTGGGTTGCTGGAGAAGAGTGTGACGCGTCGGTGGGCAGCCGTTCCGACTCGTGCGAGTGTTTGACCTCAAACGAGATCTTGGACGTGCGTCACGGTAGACATGCTGTCAAAGCCCTTGCGCGAGTAGACAGAGCCGTGAGACGTATTTCCACAGTGATGTAGTGTGTGCGAGAAGCTGATAGCGGACACGAGGACATCGGTCAAGCAGAGAGTAGTATACTTGGAATTGGTGAGTGCTCCCCGCTGTTGACCCATCTTTGGCGAACTGATGCGGCCATGTGACCGATAGACACCCGGCAGAGTGAGACACCGTCTCGACAAGGGAAGCGTGATGGATACAGAGTTATATTTGCGTACAACAGAACAAGGTTGGGAATCCCCCAATGCGAAAAACCATGCGGATCGTGAAATTACAAAATCTAGACTCAGTCTTCACCCGGACGTACTGTCCTTCCGCCCATGGCGCACCGCCGTCCGATCCACGTAAGGTGGGGGGAGCTCCCGCACGACCTGCCTCGCCGGTCCCAGCTGGATCCGCTCGGTCGATCGCACGCGTCGCATGGGCACCAGAGCCGCGCCCGGATCGCTGATTCCAGGGCTCTTCGGCCCGGGGCTGGCGGGCATCACCACGTCGGACTCCGGGCCACCGCCGGTCGAGGAGCCGCCAAAGTACCAGCTCATGCGCGACTGCTCGGACGACGTCGTGATAGAGGCGGGCCCGTGGTCAAGAAACGGGCGCACACCCATGATCGACTCGCGCAGCTGCCGTCGCTTGATGTACCGCCGGCGCGCGAAAAAGGTGGCCAGCGCGAAGAGGAGAAGGATCACTGCGCCGGTCGCGCCGGCGATCAGCCCGACTTGTATTTTCGTCACTTCGTCGGCCGGTGACGATGGGTGCGTGTTCACGGGAGGGGCTGCGGTTGGCGTGAAGAGCGACATCGTGTTGTTCCCCATCGAGCTCGTGCTCTCCAGGCCGGGGCAGGTGACGTTCGAAGAGCCTTGCGTCGAGATAAACGGACTGCCGCTCGCCCATCGGCCAGACCTGGGAAGCATCAGCTTGTGAAGAAGCCTGTCGAGGCTTCGACTCACAGGTCGCTCACGGCAGCTGTTCGTTCATTAAGCTCAATCGCTGACCGGCGTATCTATAGCATAACACACCTATCATGCGGGTTCCTGACTCTGCGCGGTTGATGTACGTGAAAAGGTCATCGTCCGCGCCTGGATACATGCGCGCGATCAGATGGCACGTCCTGCTCTGGAGACAAAGTGCCTACCAAGCGTAACATTCGTCACCTCGGGTGCGTTCAGAGCTGCCAGTGTAACATTGTACGGTGGCGTGCCCCCTTGAATCGATAGTCCCCACGGTTGGCAGGTTTCTAACACCGAGGTCACATTCGAAGAGACGATAAAGTCGGACGTTGGGGTGGGGACACATTGAGTCGAGGTACCCGCTGCGTTGCCTTTCAATAGAGAGCTATGTGTGAAAAGGATCATACGCACCAATGACTGTGTAGAGCCGGTTATCCACTCCTCCTGACGTCCCCTGCGAGTCCACGACCTGCAAGAGAAGTTCCGAACCTGCAGTCGCGATCAGCATCATGTAGCGGAACCACATCACCTCCTACCGATGGAATGTTGGACAGTCCACTCGAGGGCACGCGGGTTCGAGCCAATGAGGGACGTGACGGGGGCGCCGCCAACGGCAAACGCCATCATGTAGAATGGAGGTACACCGGCGGTCTGTAGCGGCGTAACAACGATCGGGAACGTGTGACATGAGGGCAGGGAGCTAGAGAGGGCCTGCTGGGACTGGACAGCGCATTAGAAGAGCGTCGTGCACGTCGTTCTGGGAGAGACAGACGAAACGATAGACGCACCGTCTGCGTGAAGCCCCACTGGAAGATCGGTCTCGACTGGTCGAACGCACGCCCACCCGGGACCCACAAAAGGCTGAGCCAAAGTCTGCGACAGCGACGCATGTGGGGACCGAAGAGAGAGACGCGACACGACGGGACACGGAAGGAGGAGAAGGAAAGAGACGGGGTATAGCGATGGAAGGGGAATTAAGCTACTGAGGCGAAGTAGCTTTAAAAGCCCCGTACAGCGATGCTTCTCCGCACAGCTTGATGGACCTCATCCATTCCAAGCCTTCTGGGACGTAAGCAGGCAGTTATCGTAGCTTCTTTGTCACTCCGAGTCCGAGAGTCCCTCCCTCTGCTGATCCTTGTCAGAGTCAGCTTGTGATATGATTGACGGCCTGCAAGTCATATCGGCTTCTCATTTACACTTTTGGAGAGTGTTCCCAGGCGGTCTACCACCGGGAGGAACCTGCCGTGGAACACGCCCGATGAGTCTGGACAGATTTCAGTGGAAGAGCGAAAGCCAAAACGATGCGCAAACGCAGCACATTGAGAAGGGAAGACGGACCCGAGTAACCCTAGTGCTTAGTCCATCCAAAACGCCGTGATTACGATTTTGGCAGGTGAAGCACAGACGTCAGAGCTGTGAGAGCGGCGAGTGATAAGTAGTGCGCAGCAGCGAGCGTCCCGCGGCACGGCGGAAAATGACTGAAACGGCTGGAAATTGCAATTAGAAGCGTCTCTAAGTGCAGTCAGTTACTGCATCGTGTGATACGTACATACGTTGTTCGCTGGTTTCTCGGCAAGATCATACGGTAACTCGATATAATGAGGTCTAGAACGTTCATGAGTTCATGAATTGCCGTGAGGTGGACTCAATGTGGCTTACAGCTTGGATACGCTTGGCCGAGGGGGGACATGAGGGTAACCAGCAAGCCTGCAAAGCTTCATCCATCATGTTGCTGAGCCGATTTGACCGGAACAACCCGCGATGCCGCCGGCATCAGCCGGGGATTGAACTCAACCCAGTGCACAATACCGATGTCAGGCAAGCTTTCGATCTTAGGTCCCGCAGTCTCTCAGTGATACTCGAAGCTAAAAATGACATGCAGAAAGCGAAATACATACACATCAAGCAATTTGTACAAAGTCCCCCCTCGACTCCAACGACCGAAACCACGACACGCTCCCCCCCTCCAGTCCGTGCAGAAATGTAAGATTCTCGAGACGAGGATATACGTTGAGCAGCACATCCTTAACTTTTGACAAACACGCGATCGCATCCACGACGCCCTCTTCGTGCGGGATCCACAAGTTGAACTTGTCCCGCCCTTGGATATGCAAGGTCAACTCTGACAGGTTCTCGTGCGGCGAGACATTCTCCATCAGCGTTCGGATTTCAGCTGACGAGAGCGCCGGCATAGATATGCTCAAGGACACGAGTGCGGGAAATCCGTGGTGGATGCTCTGCAGCAAACTGACCGGGATGTCAGGTGATTTTAGCGCGAATGACAGAATCCGCAGGTTGCTGTCGAGGCATATCAGCGACGACTCGAGGCTCTGGGGCCGACACGGCTCCGAGATGTCGACGAAGCGCGTGTCTCGCTCGTGCATGAAGATGGGCGCCAGCCGATGTGGGCCGCGGAAGCATTGGAGCAGAGGGAGCACGCCGTCTGGTAGGTATGAAAACCGCGGTCGAGGGAGTATGGCCCCGCTCTGGGCGTAGATCGTCAACTTGGTCACTGCGGGACACTGCATGAGCGCGGGCAGGAACATGTCGGATTTGATGCAGTCGACCGTTATCGCCAGCGAGCGCAGCTGATCCATCGGTCGGCTCGCCATAATTTCGAGGACGCCCGCGGTCGACGTGAAGAGATGCTCCAGGATCGGCGAGGAGATAAATGGGGCAAGCGGCGGGATCAGATCAATGCGGCCGGAGGTAGCCGATTCGGGGTACATCATTTGCACGTCCCTGACGAGCATGGGGAGCATCATGTCCAGTTCCTCGCGATGGCCGAAACAGTTGTCGAACGACACGCTGCGCAACCGGAGCACCTGCAGGGCCGCGAGGCGCTTGGGTGTCAGCCAGAGATTCTTACACCGGAGAACGCGCAGGTTCGGCAGGAGCGTCAGTGTGTGGAAGACGGTGTCAAGGGTGCCGCCGTCCTTCGGCCTCGTGTAGTCCGCCTCGAGCTCCATGGGCATAATTTTGACCGATGTCACGTTTATGCTGATCCTCGGCTGGAAGAAAAACTCGAGCCGCTCGCTCACGCGCCGCATGTATTTCGCCGACGTCCCACGCCGCGACGTCGCGTCAGCCGGATGCGTAACGATCGTGTGGAACAGCAGCGGCTGCGCCAGGAAACACAGCTTGCGCGAGACGAAGGACATGGCGAGCAGCGAGTGGTGCGGGAGATGTGCGAGGATCTTCAGCCACAGCTCGGGTGGCATCTGGCTACAGGCATTCATTGACCGGTCGGATGTGTTGCTTGAGATGGACCCGCGGCGGGAAAAGCTGCTGGTGATGCTGTCCACATTCAGGCGGCCGCTCTTGCGGAAGAACGAGAACGAGGGACTGCGAGGGGTGGGGGAAGGGATGGGGCTCAGGCTCGATGAGCTCGGGCTGAGATTCGAAACGCTTGGACTGAGGCTCGGAAAAATGGGGCTGAGCGGCGTCCGCATCGTAAATCAACGGGACAGGCGGAGGGGGCGGAAGAGGCGGAGGACTAGCGAAAAGGACCACCGTCGACATCGTGGCTTAAGTACAACCAGTTACGCATCTCATGTCAGATGGATTCCAGACAAATTCTCTGCGCTTGAGATCGATGGAGTTAGCGCGTCGAAGTCGCCGGTCGGTAGAAAAGTGTCAAGCCATCTCGCATACGCTTGGCGGGTGATCCAATCACGACTCAGTTCAACTGAACGACCACAGCCCCCGCGAACGAGCGGATGGCTACCAGCCCTGAGGAGCTGCGAGTTTTGCGTGACTGCCAAATTCTGGGGACTATGGGTGAGAGAAACGTATGTGGTATTCCCTGGCCTTTTGCTTGAGCCTGTGATAGCCGCTCCGAGCCCAGAATGTCACAAAACATCGCTTGAAATTAGCGATGGCACTCTGAAGCCTAGTCAGGAACCAGGAAACACGACATTGGACACGGGAGCTTTTCCAGTTCATGTGCGTCCCGCGCCGGAGATACGGAGCTGCCACTCCCTGCACTGAGTTCGACGAACGCCCGGGAGCAGCTCTCGCTCGGTTCTACCTGACGACGCCCACATGTATTGATGCGCTTCTCGGCCTGTGTGAACCCGCAGTCGTCACACTTCTCGACATTGAGTATCACATAATTCCATATCTTAATTGTCGTCATTCGCGCGTTGGACCGGACAAGAGTCACACATCACGTCCCCCACAAAAAAAGCGGCACCGACAGTGCTGAGAGGTCGCCCCCACAAATACACTTGTGAAGCCTGCTGTGGATTCTGTCCGCCTCGGTCAAACCCACAGGTGTCACCGAGCGAGTGCCATCCACGCTTCGGTTTCGACATTTAATGAGTTGTCATGTCGATTTCCTTCAATTCGCATGGTGAAGATACTCTCCTCAAAGTGAGCAGAAGTTGTTTGTTGATGACACCTTGGGTACAGCCTTTCTGTGTTAACTTGTCGAGTAGCGGATATGTGTCTATCCCAATTGAGTAAGGACTGAAGTCGCTACCGAGATCGGCATACGATCTGCCATCAATGACACAATTGATGACTGTGATGGCTTGTCATGAAGGACAAGATCGTTCAACAGTCTGAATTATAGTCGTCAATGGATAATTTCAGAGTTTTATGGCACGGAAATCAGGGGCATCCTTACGAATTCAAACCAAGTGGAGTCCACAGGGCTCAAAGGGCATGACGCATCACAGTCCTCGGTCAATATTGATGGTGGGTTGGAATCTGCTCCAGCGCAAATGGGACGTATGTAAGGTGTAAACAGTCTCTATCATCATCAGAGGACGGACCCGTAGTTACCGGTAACGGGTGTGACATACACTGAATCGCAGAAAATCAGTCATCGATTTCAAAATTGCAGATGAAGCCAGATTTTTCTCAGGTTGTCACGAAATCACGTTGGCGGGCGGGTCATGTCTCCCACACAACTGGGTGGTTCAACATATCCACTAGATGTCCGGGAAGCCGTCTGTGCAATGGGCAGTTGAGCTCCCGAATCAGCTCACGCAAGTTTGCTTGAGAGATAGATGGCTGCCCGGCACCGTATCCATAGAATACGATGAGACGGGCCACATGCTCCGCCGTCGTCAGCTTGTGTGCGGGGTCTATATTGGGGTGCGAAGAAAAGAGTAAACTGAATGCGCATTTCAATTGAGCTTGCCTCGCTCATTTTCCGAGACATCGGGAAGGCAAGATGTCACGGCCGAGCTTTACATAGCTCGTATCTCATGACGATGTCTGTCATGTCTCAAATTTATGAGAAAGGGCAGCAAGAAGATGCGCAGATTTACCGCAGATATCTAGTCTCATGGACCCATGCCGAGTTCTTGACAAAGCTTTTCCTGCTGAGCCGGGGTGATTCGAGCAAAATCTGCAGCCGTGAAATCTAGCTGATGGTTGCGACGACCGCAGGAGGAATTTGAAATAGGGACACACTCCTCATGGGCGCTCGAAGCCAGAAGCCGCACTGAAGATTGTTGTATCTCTGATCGACGGAATCCTGCAGTGATATGATATAGGTGATCTGATGCGATGTGATGCGATGTGATGTGCCCCACAGAACGGCTGGAAGGTCCGAGTCAAAGACGGTGATCCATTTGCATGAGCGACCAAAACAAGATAGTAGCTCGCAACATCGTACCGGGAATATCTCTAGGTCTCACCAGAACGCTGATTGATTGCGCTGCTTGGATGCGACCACATGCTTCCTGCTGGATTCTGTGCGCAGTCCAGGGACCATACAGCAGATTTTGCGCATGCTCAGCTCCCGAAGGTGGATTCCCCTTTTCTCCGAACCATGCAATACGCCACACATAAGACCGAAGAGCACGCCCCAAGGAAATATGCAGACCCTATCAGCGCGGAACCAGTTTACGTGCGATCATCATGTTGGAACTGAGGAAGACGGTCCAGACGGACGAAGAACAATGACTCGTCTCTAGCGCACTTGATTTGCCCGATCGCAGTCAATCTCTTGGGTAAGCGTTCCACCCGCAGCTATGCTGTGGAATAAGTTGATTTGTGAAGGCTTGTAATTTGAACGGAAAGCAGCTTTCTGTTGCCATCGCAGGCAAAAGCAATCGACTCTGTATCAGATCCATCTTCCCAATCGCTCGATTTCCAGAAAAGCTTCTAAGCGCGATATGAAGAGCAGACGTGCTCACGTTGAGCCTGAAGAAGCTGTGTCCATGGCAGAATTTAGACTCTGAGCGTGAGGAATGTATGGTCCGGCTCACGGGGTCCAAGATGGCGATTCAAAAGGAAGTGGGAACAACCTGAAACTTCGATCTTGTTGTTTGATAATGGCGCAGCTCCATCGGTGGGTGGTGATTGGTCGACACAACAGCGTCCCGGTCACCATCTGCCACAACAAGGTCCAGAATTGATGGCCTAGCTTCTTCCTGGCTCAACCCGGAAAAAAGAGATGCCCTTGTGTTGAAGGGCGGATCTTGGAGAGGGAGGGAGAGAGAAGAATGAGAAAGCAAGGAGGGACTTCAACATCTTGCGTTCGCTGTGCACCGCTTGACCCGCTGCTCTCTAATATAGTGCGACTGAGTAGAGCAGTATATTTGCATAGAATGTCGAGTTCGAGGGCGAGTCGACCGAGTGAAAGAGCTGAGGTCCTGGTAAGTAGTCAGGTTGAAAGAGCTGCACAGCCGCTTCGTGAGAAAATGATACGAGTCCTCGGAAGCGCCGCCATCCCCATCAGAACCCGCCCTCATCGTCACGGTCATTTTCGATCAGCCAAATCATCATGACTCTGCCTGTCCTGTCGGACTCGACATTGTCTGTTCCCGAATCGAATCATACCCGGTTTCCCCTCGTCGTAATCTGTGCGCGGAGAACGGAGAAACACGGGGGCCGTGCCGCGACTTAGCGGACGTCCGAACAGCGACTCCGCGTTGTTTCATGTGCTGGCATCTGGTGTACATGGACGTGCGGTCACAGATCCTGTACCTTTGGTCGGTACTGCAGATGGAATTGTGGACTCCCGAGAGCTATCCCAGCACATGTGCCCCGATAGCCTGTGTAACGAATTTGACGAATCCATTCCCCTCAAAACCCTTCGCCCCTCATTCCATCCACGTCTCTCTCTCCCGATGAAACATACAGCTCCGTAAATGCCTTAGTCGTGGGCACTCGTAGTCACCACGAATGCTAGTGGCTTCGCTGCGCAGTTTCTTCTTCATTGCTTTGTGGGGCGTCCCCCGGTACTCTCTTCTGTCCTCAACATCCTTGCTGATGCGACTATCCAGGTCTTGTCCATAGAGCTTTCGCTTCCAAGCAGGTCCGCGCTTGTAGCGCACCCATCGTATCTCCCGGGGCGGACTGACGTAGGGAGGGGAGATGCTATGTGGGATCGCAGAGTTGTCGACCGTCGGATGGAGACGACGTGGGACCACAGCTGTTTAAACCTGTGGCGCTCTTGCCACCAACCAACCAACTGACCCGAATGGACGGGTCATCTAGAGTGGGCTCATGTTTGAGCCGGCAAGCCCACTTAGCCTTGGATGGGGACCCATTGCTCCGGACCGCGCCTGACGGCGGAGGAAGGTGTCAATCGCTCAGAGAGCTCGCTAATCTCGCCGCACTCGAGGGCGACGAGGTGTCGAGCGAACCAGCGGCCGCGGCCTGTATCCGGAAAACCTAACCAGGAAGAGGCGTCTGCGAGGAACATCGCCGTAATCGAGGGTGTCACAACGGGCGCCATTGGTCGGGGCGGTGGACTGGTCGCCGAAGCGAGCCCTGACACGTCAGGTCGGCGCTGGCCAAGCTGGGTCCATGGTTACCGCTCATCGGGGAATGAGAGCCTTGATTCTTTCACGGAGCAGGAGGATGGGTGATGTCCCGCCCTAGCAGCCGTCGGTGTTTTCTACACTATTGTATCTTCTCCTATGCTCATGGCATTACGAAGCTATGTTCCCATGACCTTATTCCACATACTGTCGTGCACCATTCGTCAGGTAAGGTGCATCGTGCATCCGCGGATCTCCTCACCGAGCGCTAACAATAGTCTTGCAGCAGCTTTAACCGAAAACATATTCGGAGTTCGTGCCGAAGGAAGACGTTGCTGGATCTCTAGAAATCTACGCTGTCGGTCAGGAGATCTATGCTGGCTGGAAACCGCGACGCTTCCCAGTCCGATTTCCGGTCTTTGCTACTGGACGGTGGGCAGTCGAGATCGATGACGCTGGGAGCCGAGTTTTTCTGATACATTTCCGAGCACATTGTCAGGGCCACCGGCAACGGCAGAGCTCGAATTCTCTCTCTTGGCGTGGATGCGAAACGTTCTCAGAAGCGTTTCACTGCTCCGATCGCCACCGAGGAGCTGCGCCATTCCGGGGGATGAAGGCTATCATCGTTGGAGCGGTGAGGATCCTTCTTGCAGCCCTCATCATCCACCCGGGTCAGTTGGCGCTCGCAGGGTCATGCTGCGGTATACATCGATCGCGCCTGACTTGAATATGGAAGGAGCTTTCGGGGTCAGTATGGTCTAGCCCAGGGCGATATGCTTCATCTTCTCAAGCACGATAGAGGAAGGCTTGTTCTGTGCTGCTTTGTTCCAAGAAGCCCGCGACGAAAGACGCTGGCTTCTTCATGCAGTGCCCGATGTCTCGTCCTATGGGACTTCCAGATCGCTGCCGGCGGTATGAATCGGTGTTTCAAGGGTCTCGGCCACTTGCTTCATGGTCCGGCTAAGTTAGCCTTCAAAAGCACTCCAAGAAGTGCCATTGGTCTTCGAAGTGCGTTCATGTTGACCTCTGTCTCCTTGCTTCTGACGCCGTCATCATCTGGAGCACACAGGCGATGTGATGCGATTGAGTTTCTACTCATCGATATCATAGTGCTCGACAACGGATGCTGTCAGCTGATCACCGTCGGGAGGATCAAGGCCGACATTTCGCGTACACCCCGCCCACCCATAGTAATCCAAGCACACCGGAGTATATCAAAAAAACTGTCAAGATTGCCTTCGCGGAAACGGACGCGACGGTCTTCACAGTTGGCAGCAAGATCCAGGCTGATCTCATCGTTCTCGACTTCGTTCCTAACTTGCAGACGACGATCCTCCCCTTCGTTCCACTCACTCATTCGGAAGTGAGCCAACCATCAGCAATGCCGTCTCGCTCTTCTGTAAATCGATCAAGGATCAAATCGGAGACAAGATATGGGGTTCGCCTGGTGAACTCGCGCGATTCTTCTGGCTGGCTCGGTCCATGCACATTCCGGCACGCGCGATTCTGCAGCAAGCACTTCGAGCGCTCGCTATTTTCAGCATGCATCCTGACCGGATGCTGAGCTGTAATCTCAGGTCACTGGATGTCCCGGTGCCAGAGTCTGGCGTGGAGAACTGGGTGCTCGACGGGTTTGTGTCATTTAAACTAGTCCCATGAACGCGAGGAATGGGGTGAGTACAAGATGTAGACAGATATCGATCTTTCCCCGCTGAGTTCGGCAGTCAGAGGGGACGTACCTAACTGCCAACAACAAGTAGCTCCAGAGGGGAAGTGCTCCTTTATGAGTTGAGGCGAGTCGAGTGCAATAGAGTGCAAATGTGCCTGGTGCAGGAATCCGACTCTACAGTAGCTCGTAGAAGAGTGCCAGACCTCAAACGTGCAAAGCGCAGGCCCGTGGAATCATAAGATAAGTACGGGTAACTGAGATTGAGCCCATCTGCAGCAAGGGACACCTTGGAAACTACCCAAGTCCGACCATTTAGGTTGTTTTGGGGTTCAAAACCTGCCTAAGCGCGCGAAGCCTATCTAAATGGTAGCGGGCAAATGGGTGCTGGGTTGCAAATTTTGGACGTAGGTGCCCGTGGCAAGGAAAGGGTTACCCTCCACCCTCAAATGTCAGAGCCAGAAAAAACAAGGCATTTTTCACTGGAAAATAGCTCATTTTGGGACATTGTAGGACATGTAGCCATAAATGGTAATCGTTGTTCAGTAGAATCTAAAACAATGGAATGTCCTGGTCAAGGTAGGGAACATCCATTCCCTGTCAATGTCATGTGTTCCATCACGGAAAACGATGTTATGGACTCTGATGCTGACGAACTTCGGGTAAGTGGCCCCCGCCTTCTGCAGCCGACTTTGTCATAGATCATGTTCTACCGTGGCTCTCCCGCTCTGTGAAAGCACCGGGCACGACAGATGGCCCTGACGAAAAACACCCATTTAGACTCAGCCAATTACCAAGCTGTTGCTCGAGAGATCCGTTGCAGCCGGGAAAGACATTGGTAAGATGACATGATATTCCGTGACTGGCCGGAGCAACATACCTAATCATGCTCATGGTCGACTTTCACAAGAAGCCCTGTGGGTCTAGAGAAAAAGTGAAAGAGGTCCAGGTGAGGCGGTGTTGCGGCTGCGTGGAGAGAAGTAGACTAGGAGGTTAGTATTGACAGGGTTCATCGTGATATACTTGCATTAACAGAACTTAGACGAGAATAATCGTGTACACCAAGTCACGCATTGAGTCCGAGCCGAACCGCACACCCCCACCCCGGCGTCCTAGACATCGCGAATCAGGAAGTAGCTGTCAAGGCATTGCTCAAGGACTGAGAGGGTGCAGAAAAGCTACAACGGAGCGTGCTCTGGAATGAACGCCCTAGTAAGTGAGAAAATGGAAGAGCACGATTCGTATAATTCTGAAAGGCCAGCTCGCCGTATGAAGATTTCCGCGTGATACTTTCGAACCAGGCCTCCTTCGCTTCCCATCGCAATGATGCCACTGATGCCGAGGGACGTTGCAGACAAGGTCAGCGGCTGACGAGGGCCACTGACTACGCACAGCTGACCAACGGTCAGACTCCGAACGGAAATTCAGAACAGAAGCGGGGTATCACACCATAAGAAGTGCGTTTGTGTCGATGTGGTTGGCACTTGAACCACCTTCTCCCACGCTCGCAGCTCTTTCTGCTCCTCCCACCATGTCAGAAGCACCATACACCATCGCCGTACCCGACGACACCCTGGCCTCGTTGCACCAAAAGCTCAAGGCCGCTAGATTCCCGGACGAGTTGGAGGATGCGGGGCGCGACTACGGTGCGCCCTTGGGGGATATCAAGCGGCTCGTCTCGCGGTGGATCGACGGCTACGACTGGCGCAAGCACGAAGCCGCTCTGAACGCGGAGCTGCCTCAATTCACGCGCGACATTGCGGTGGACGGGCACGGGACACTCAACATCCACTACGTCCATAAGAAGAGCGCAGTGCAGGGTGCGATCCCCTTGCTGTTCGTGCATGGATGTGCGTTATTGCGTTTGTATTCGGGAGACGGTGTACTGACTCGTCCTTGTCCTTGTCCTCGTCCTCGTCAGGGCCGGGAAGCTTCTTTGAGGCGAGGAAGATCGTGCCCTTGCTGGTTGCGGGGTCTGATGAACATCCGAGCTTCCACGTCGTTGCGATGAGTCTACCGGGTTATGGGTTCTCCGAAGCCCCAAAGAAGAAGGGATTCGCCATTGAGCAGTTCGCTGAGGTCAGTGTTGGAGTCGTATGCTTCCACTCCACGAGTCTGACTCGACACACATGGCAGGTTGGCAACAAACTCATGCTGGCGCTGGGCTACAATGAATACGGTGAGTGAGCCCGGACTTCGCCGTTTTCTGTCATCTC